ACGACAGTGCAGCTCTAGCCGAGCAGCTTGCCCTCCCCCATCTCCTGATGCTGTGAAGCTCTTGCTGAGGGGTGCTCCGTCCTCGGACTCCTGCGACCATGTGCCCATCCTTCTCTATCTTCTCTTTACTTCCGTACCTTGAGTGTCCTCATCTCTACCTTATATCTTTTAATCCTCCGTATCCCTTTTAATCTCTTTTTACTCCCATTCCTTGTGAGCCACTGTTAAGGTGTCGCACTAAGATGCAGACAGTTAGGAGGCTCACTTTTATCTTCTTTTCTCTCTTTTAAGAATCATTTAAGACGACGACAACGGCTGCGTCTCCGCTGCTACTCTTTGCGCCGCAGCAGCAGCGTGGCCAGCTCGTGACGAGAAAGGAGACGCAGAGAGAAGCAAATCAGAATTTGAGAGATAACCAACACTCCACGGCACTTTTTTTTTTTTTTGTGCTCTCTTCGCGTGCGGCGTTGACAGGAGAAGGGTCTCTACATGTTAGGGACTGGAAAGGGGGAGGCGTGCCACCAGCGCGTCACAGATCGGCATTTGAGAGAGAGCCAACACTCTGCGGAGGCGCTGCGCCGTGCTCCCTACCGGGCTGCAAAAATTAGGCTCTTTTCTTCCTCTTTCCTCTTCTAACCACTGCCACCACTACTCCGCGACAGCTTTTCTTTTTTTCCTCTCCGTGTGCGCGGCGTTGAAAGGAGAAGGGTCTCTACGAGGTAAGGACAGAGTAGGGAGAAGCGTGGCACAGGGGCGCCCCAAATCGGCATTTGAGAGAGAGCAAACATTCCGCCCTAAAGCTCCTAAAGGACGAAGTTCTAGGGGCTTTATTCCGCTCCAGCGTTTCCTTTTCTTTTCTTCTTTTCCTTCTTTTGCATGCAGCGTTGAGGTGTCAGAGGTTCCGTTGTGAGGTTGGGTGTGGTGCTGGTGGCATTTTCGGAGCGCGGTATGTTCGAATTAACCATCGCAAGTGCTTGCGCGTTCGAATCTCAGGGTGTTTTTCCTCATTGGAATACACACATAGCTTTGAAGGGACCACAGCGTCAGTTCTATAATCGGAAGTTTGAATTAAGCATGTTCAAATTAATGAGATTTGACACTAGTAAATTACGCTTTCATAATTCCAAAATTACCATGCTTGTCATGAGAACTCTCTCGGTAAGCAAGAAAACGCGCAAAAAGAAAATTCGGCTGGCTTCACATAGTTGCATTAATGCAACAATTGCCGTGACTTCACAAATTTTGACGTTTTTTTACTAGGTCCTATATAGCTTTTCTTAATCTCATCTGCCCACCTAACCTTCTGTCTCCCCCTAACCCGCTTCCCTTCTCTGGGAATCCAGTTAGTTACCCTTAATGACCAGCGGTTATCCTGTCTACGCGCTACATGCCCGGCCCACGTCCATTTCCTCTTCTTTATTTCAACTATGATATCCTTAACCCCCGTTTGTCCCCTAATCCACTCTGCTCTCTTCTTGTCTCTTAAGGTTACACCTACCATTTTTCTTTCCATTGCTCGCTGCGTCATCCTCAATTTAAGCTGAACCCTCTTTGTAAGTCTCCAGGTTTCTGCTCCGTAGCTAAGTACTGGCAAGATACAGCTGTTATATACCTTTCTCTTGAGGGATAGTGGCAATCTACCTGTCATAATTTGAGAGTGCTTGCCAAATGTGCTCCACCCCATTCTTATTCTTCTAGTTACTTCAATCTCGTGGTTCGGTTCTGCGGTTATTACCTGCCCTAAGTAGACATAGTATTTTACAATTTAAAGTGCACTATTATCTATCTCGAAGTGCTGCTCTTTTCCGAGGTTGTTGTACATTACTTTCGTTTACTGCAGTGTAATTTTAAGACCCACCTTTCTGCTCTCCTTGTCTAACTCCGTAATAATGAGATGCAATTCGTCCCCTGAGTTACTTAGGTATGGAATGTCATCGGCCAAGTGCAGGTTGCTAAGGTATTCTCCATTAACTCGTATCCCTAACTGTTCCCATTGTAGGCTTCTGAAAACCTCCTGTAAGCACGCGGTAAATAGCATTGGGGAGATTGTGTCCCCCTGCCTTACACCCTTCTTGATGGTGGGCAGATGAGATTAAGAAGTTTGCGGGTATAAATTGGCAGCAGCAAGCACAGGACCGGGTTAACTGGCGGAACATGGGAGAGGCCTTTGTCCTGCAGTGGACGTAGTCAGGCTGATGATGATGATGATGATGATGATGATATAGCATTTAAGTACTAAGAACAAAGTAAACTGACTTCTGAGATGGCTCTAGACTTAACGTACTAAGTCTCAAGAAATTACTTTGAGCGAATGTCGCTAAAGTAAAAAAAAATGCACATTGAAATTCGTGATATCACGTGCAGAGATTTCAGCACGAAATTTAGGAATAAATGTTTTACTTATATTTTCTCCCCAATTAATAAACCTGGAATGATTAAAAGAACGACGTGAAAGTTCTTGAAGCCTTTTTGAATCTTAAAAGATCATTCATTCTAGGTCAGCGTCCATTTAATATTACAGTATTTGAGGTACTTTGTTCTCTGAAGTGCTCCATTATAAATTGAACTTGGCTACCTCGTTGGCACTGCCTTTGGGCAGTGCCACCTAGGTAGCCAAATATACCTATGTGAAAGGGCTCCTCATAGTAAGATTACCTGCTCTAAAACCAAAATTTTACTGCTGTGAAATGCTTCTAATAGCAAGATTACCTGTTCCAAAATGCTCCAAAACTAAAATTTTACAACATCCAAGGTGCTCCTAATTGCAAGATTTCCTGCTCCAAAACTCAAATTTTAGTGCCCCAAGACGCTCCTAATTGCAAGATCACTTGCTCCAAAATGCTCCAAAACTAATATTTTACTGCTTTAAAGTGCTCTAAAACTAAAATTTGACTGCTCCAAAAATTGCTTCAAATTGGCAGTCCCCAGTGGGATCACTGAAAGTGGGAATAAAAATATTAAGTTTGCTTGCAATTGGTGACTTCTTGGCCCGTTGCCAGCTAGTTGGTGTGCGTGACTGCAACTTGACTAATCAGCCAACCGCTGCAACAAATCTGGCATGAAGCGGATTTAGTTCGCTCGAACCACGGATGACAGCAGTACGTTTGCTGCGGGTGAATGCGCCAGTCATGTGGTCTTTTTTGTATTTTGCGGACTTTCTTTAGAGTTTGGAAAAAGTGTATGTGAGACTTTCTTCATCGCAAAGAACGCGATGGGGTTTTCTGAAAACACTCTTGAGTTTGGCAAGTCCCATTTGTGGCCTAAAGTCAATATTTAGTTCAGCCATTTTATTTCACAAATGAATTAATTACAAAATAAAAGTTGTGATACACAAGGTGCTGTCAGCAATACGCAGCTGATTTCACTCGCCTGCCTTTAATATTTTAACCCTTGGTTAAAGATAGCTGGGACACCTAGTATACGGGGTGATCGTTTTAGGAAGTACAGATTTTTGATAACAATAACAGTAAGGCTCCTATCGTTTTTGCACACGAGCTCCACGTCGAGATAAAAATACTTTGCCACTGTTAACAAGACACTATTGTTACTGACGAAAATTGTCAACTTGCTTTTTAATTATTAATTTGAGGGCAGGTGTTTGTATTACAAAGTTGAAGTGCGCGCCAATTTACAGTATGTCTATTTTTCGAAAAGGTTGCACATAGTTTCCGATATTCATCTTCTAACTTGACAGACGAGATCAAAACTGATCACACAAGGCTCACAGTTTTGCTACGTCAGGCTGGAACTATCTGTCATTCAGGAGTAACAAAACTTGAATGATGGTGTGCCGCGGCCAGATGTTTTCATTAAAAGCTGCAAGCAGTCTTGCCTGGGTCGGTGCATCCTCTTATTTTCTGCGTAATGTTTCGTGCTTATCTGTTTCTGTAGAAATGTGCAGAGGAAAACAGGAATAGCCACTTTTTCTTTGTCTGGGAAGTATAAAAGTCTGAGGCGGCCGCCTCGGTGCTTGTTCTTGCAGACAGCCAAAGTGTTTTTTTTTTTTTTTGAGCCTGTTTATAGCTTAAAAAAGAAAGAGATATGGTCCACACATTGAAAGCAAACATTGAGTTGTCTGCTAGCACATTTCAGCGTGCTTGCCTACTTACGATTTTCGGAAAGATGGGAAACGGGGGCCTGTTGCTCGCCGAGCTCCAGCCAGTCAGTGAAGGCCGAAGTGGAAAGTCCGCAAGGTGGACTCATTGAGAATCGTGCCTCTGATTGTAATATTGTCCATATCAACTGATAAAAATTTACTAGGCCTGGTCAGATGGAGTCAACATTTCTGAAGTCGAACTTCAATACGGCTTCATCGTTTATTATTTTTTTTTCATGATTTCTCTTGTATCGTGTCACTGTGAGACTAACTTTTCTGATTTTCCAGAGGTATTTACTAATGCAGCTAAAATCATGAAATGCAAGCTCACAAAGAGTTAGCCTGCAGTCCTCCACTTCTCTCTCTCTCTCTCTTTCTCTCTCTCTCTCTCTCTGTTATAAAATAATTGTTACGGCTTATGCCTAAAAACCATAATACAATTTAGAGGGATGCTGTAGGGGAGTGCTCTGGCAATTTTGACCGTGTGGTATTCTTCAACGTGCACCTAAATTGAAGTACGAAGGCCTCAAGCATTTCATCTTCGTTGAATTGTGGCCGTCATAACTGGGATTCAAACCAGCAACCTTCGGGTCAGCAGTCGAGCACCATAATCACTAGACCACCATAGTGGGTCGCTCTGTTGTAATGCATTGTGGTATGTAAACATAAGTTTTCCTTTGATAAAGTTTTCTGTAAATTAGCCATTTTGTCTATAATCTTGGGAAGTGGCTCTATATAAGAGTTTTCTTTAAGCGTTTACAAAACCCCTTATGTGCTGTGAGTGTTGCTTTTACGATGACTGCTATATTATAGATTAAGTAAGCATTGAAGCCAGTGCAGAAGGGGTCATCCCTGGAAAGGCTTGGTGTTAGTTACTGATGTCATGCCTGAAACTTTCGCACAGGTGAACAACTTGTCCGTTAGCACACGTGCAGCTGTTGTGTATGACCTTCTTGATGGCCTGAAGGAAGGAATACCGTTGGACAGAAGGCAAGTGAGAGGCAACTATTTCTGGATCAGATCTTGCAAAATTGCATATTGAAAGTTCATTATTTGCATTTGCTCTTCATTTAGATGGCTTGAGGTGCTCCCGGACTTATTGACAAGTATTTCTCAAAGTGATACTGTTTCTGCAAGGGGCGATAGGCTGTCTGGTGGGCAGTTTAAGAAATTGGTCGTGGAAAATCTCTGCTCCTGTCCGTGGGAACCTAAATGGGCCACACCATTGGCACGCATTCTCAGGTTTGTTATGGTTTCGTTTATACCTTGGAGCTCATCAGAAACATCAATTTCTATTTGAGAAAGCACAAAGCTTGACTGAACCAGTGATGTGATTGTTGCGCCGATTGCACCAAACTTCGTCAAGAGAGAAAACCTGCTACATTTCAGCAGAAATGTCATAAATTGCACCAAGTGCACGCCGAGACATCATTTTTGCAGTGCTTTAGGGAGAAATTAAAATGGCTGGTGTTCAAATAGCATTCATAAGCAGTGATTCTACTCTTGCGCCAACTATAAGATTTACTGCGCTATCCTGATAATATGAACAAAAATTGCACCAAACTGCGCCTAAGCTCCACTACTGGTAATAGCCACACCTGCACGTCAAAACTTGTGCAGCTTGTTCTCGGGACCACCAAGGCCACAAGCATGTATCTAGAATTATTACGCTGAATGAACAGCGGTCACAAGTGTGTCCCAGGTAATCCACGATACTTTTCTTGGTGCTGACGCAACGTCTCTTCTGCAAGTTGGCTCATCGACAAATGCACCCATTGCAGCTAGGGGCTTGTAAAGTATATTCTAATAGCTAGCGTGTAACTGTGGCGGCGATTTATCGCAGGGCGTTGTCCGTTCCAGGTACACTGTTTATAGCTCGTTTGAAGAGCCGCACTGCACGTAACTAAAGCAATTTTCACTAATAACAGCATGAATATCACCAGAATGTCTATTTCTGGACATCATGATCTAATTTCTTGTGCTTCGCAGTGGGAATGCGTCGACACTTTTCCTTAAATATACTTAATCCATAGATAAGGGCTTTTTTTGTTATTCCTTCAATCAGCACATCCGCGTTCGTAATTGCTATTGCGTAAATGTCCGCCAAAAGACCGTATCTTTTCGAGCTCGTGAGTGCAAGGGTTCGAATTCAGAATTTGCATGTTTTTTGTTTTTTAATGTCACCTCATTAATAAAAGCATTTCTCCTCATCGGAGCAGCTGCAATTCGGTTTTAACATGCGGAGCTTTAGTAGTAGGCCGATTGCTGATGGTCCTGGTGTCGTAAGGCCCACTGTGAAACGGCTGCGCCTTCTTACTCATCCGCCCCCTTGCTCCCCATGGTCGAAAGCTGGTGGTTAAAAAAAAAAAAAAAAAAAAATAACTGTTCCCCGCCACGGTGGTCTAGTGGCTAAGGTACTCGGCTGCTGACCCGCAGGTCGCGGGTTCGAATCCCGGCTGTGGCGGCTGCATTTCCGATGGAGGCGGAAATGTTGTAGGCCCGTGTACTCAGATTTGGGTGCACGTTAAAGAACCCCAGGTGGTCAAAATTTCCGGAGCCCTCCACTACGGCGTCTCTCATAATCATATGGTGGTTTTGGGACGTTAAACCCCACAAATCAATCAAAAAATAACTGTTACAGTATCGCATTCATTGCTTCATGTTGCTTTGTTTTGGGGGGGGGGGGGGAGGCTGCGTTGCTCGAAGGGCGCAATCCCTGGCACTCACTATCTTTAGTCATCATGAGACTGCTTGTAAACATTCTGTGCTATTATTGCCTGCTCCGCGCTTGCATAACTGACAACACGAAAACCGTTTGAGCTCGTGGAGTGGCCTTAGTCCCTTCAAGCAGTGTTCTATGAGTTAGATGAAAATAGGTCCAAAAGATGCAATTTGATGTCATTTGCAAGCAACATCTGCGAGCAAGATCATGGTCTTGAGAAGGTGATGATTAGTTGCATCACACATGCCCGTAAGGGCCAAGCTAACAATGCCAGCCCTCGCTCTCATCTCTTGACCTGCCCAGCTCCCCCTACAGCTCCTAGAAACAGCATGAACCACACTGGTAGCGAACAGTGCTCCCACCTGGGGTAAGGCATCAGTGCTTTTGGGAAAGGGGGAGATTAGGATTAAAGAAGTAGTGGGGAAAGAAAGAGGAAGTAAGAAATATGTGCACTCTGCATGCGCCTCAGTGATTGCTGCGTCACGGCTTGCGCTCACATGCAACTGTCATGTGCTAACAACTCATCAATAATACAGCCAAATGTTGAAAAATATGGCCAATCTACTCTGTTTATCAGAACTGTCACATCGTCCAAGTAGAATTTCGAAGTTTGCATCGTTTTTTTTTTTTTTCAATTTTGTTCTTTATTTTTTTAACTACACGAAATATTTGACAGTCATAAAAATGTTTAGTTCCTTATTACTTATTGACAAAAAGTGGCTGATCATGTTACATAGTTTCGGTAGTATGGCATTATCTTACAAATGCCAAATGCTTAACTTGCTAATACCAGGAATCTAGTGAGTAATTTGCATTGTATAACTTGAAACTTATTTCATGGTTTTGTTTTTAGCTATATGGTCGAGTGGCTATACCATAAAAGAAAGCTAGCAGAAAAATTTATTTTAGAAATGGCGTGTATAGGATTCGGTAGTATGGCATTATCTTACAAATGCCAAATGCTTAACTTGCTAATACTAGGAATCTAGTGAGTAATTTGCATTGTATAACTTGAAACTTATTTCATGGTTTTGTTTTCAGCTATATGGTCGAGTGGCTATACCATAAAAGAAAGGTAGCAGAAAAATTTATTTTAGAAATGACGTGTATAGGATAACTGTTATCATCTCGTGCATTACATTGCTGTGAAATGATCATGCTAGAACACCATGAATAAATATCTGAATGTGAAGATTGTGTTCATTTGTGCCCTCTTTCAGTGAGATTCCACTTGATGCATCTGAACTGCAATTGGCCATTCCAAAGATGATGAGGGTTTTGCCAAACCTCGAATTACCTGAAGTTCCTCCCCTTGTGTATCAACTACTACTATTCTCCAACCAAGTATGTTTTTGACATTTTTTTTTATTTAATAATTTTGCCCCCCCCCCCCCCCACTCTTTTTTTTGTCACTCTAGTTTCTAAAGCATACTATCAAAAGTCTTTTCCATCTTGCAGGAATGCACTGAAATCTTAATAGAGTCAGTAGTTAAATTCTTCAGAGAAAAGGATTTGGAGATAGAAGAGCTGCGGTATGTATTACTGTCCTTTGTGGTGCTTTATAGCATTGTTTAACTTTGTAAATGATCTTTTTTTTTTTCTTTCTCCAGAGCAACTGCATTGAATGGAAGGGAGAACCTTGAACAGACAGAAGCTACCGTAGTTCTTCACATTGTTTTTGCTGCACGTCAGAACCCTACCATCATAAATTTTTTTATTAAAATGCTAAAGGTGAGCTTACTTACCAACATCTTCTTCCTATCATTCTTTAGTAGCATAGTAAAAAGAAAAAAAAAGCATGAAAAAAGTGTGGACGTGTGTATGTGAAATGAATAAAGACTAAGGTGCCTGATCTTTTTGGTCGGCATCTGAATGAAACCAATGGATACTATATATTTAATTATCTAAAAATTATACTTGTTTTCAACCTGCATTACAACAAACTGTAAACCCTGCATGATATAGGTTTCTGTACTTCTCATTTTTTCTTAATCTTAACGATGAGCTGTATTTTGTGAGCTGGACACAGAATCTGTAATGAACACTGATTTCACGCACAGATTTGTTTTAAAAAATGCAAGCTTAGCTGCTTAGAACTAATAGACAAGATAGCCAATGAAAGTTTAGGGGATCTAATTAGTGGGTATTGTGATGTAAATGTGAAGAAAGTAAAGTGGACAAAAAAATAACCGGACGCTAGCAGGGATCAAACCTGCAACCGACGAATGGTGCATCCTATGCTCTACCAACTGAGCTACAGTGGTGGTGATGCTGCCGTCTACTTCATCGGGTATATGTGTGGTATATGTGTCATCGGGTATATATGTGTATAGGCAGCGCTTCTGGTACCTGTGACAGCGAGTGTGGAACATTTTCTGCCTGTTGGCGTCGTGTAGCATGTGCTCTTTTTACTAGCTTGCAGCTGACCAACATACTACCGCATCTAGTCTCCTAAAAAGAGACCTTTGCTCTAAATGAATGAAAGAAGGGGAGCATTAAAGGACTCATTTCTCTTTGCTTGTTTGTTATAATTGGTTTTCATGTCTGTTCTAATTAGTTTCGTGTTTAGCAAAAAAAAAATGAGCATTTAAATGTTCACTTTCTTAACCTTAGTTGCTGTCATAATATTGTTTCATGGTTGCTGAAATCCTTTTTTTGTGTGTATGTGTGTGTGGAGGTGGGGGGGATTGTGTTCGGTACAAATTGATGCCAAGCATTAAATGTGGATATTATTAGTATTCCCCAACCTCTTCTTCAAAAGTGAAAAAGAAGTGTGATGCCGTATTTAGCGAGCTAATCTTGGTGTGAGTCAGCCGAGTGTTGATAAAGTTAGAAGTGGAACAGCTGCGCCATTGGCGCCGTTGTGCGCCAAACTTGGTTTCCTGCTTCGAATCACCCCTCTTGCGCCAAACTCATTTATCAGCGCCGTACCACGCCGTATCATCCAAATTTAGCCACAAGTTGCAACTGCCGTCGAGCCCTGTGCCCGAAAACCTGCCTCAAACATTCTTTTCAGTTTCATCGAAATGGTTATACCTTGTTTCGGTTTCATCAAGGTAGTGATTGTTCGAGCAGCAGCTGTGAATTTTGATTGTAACGGTTTGGTCATAATCGCTTGCGCGTGCTCCATCTCGGCAATTATTAGCGCAATAGCTCGCATTGCAATTTCTCCCTGGCATGGCAGTTTTTGACTATAATGCAAGAGAATCAGCTGCCAGCTGCATTCATTGCAGCTGGCAGCTGCAATGAATTGCATTCATTGCTTGTGGCAAAACTGCATTCATTGCTTGTGGCATTCATTGCTTGTGGCAAAACTGATTGTTTTTATGTTTTTACCCGCAGCTAAAACTACTACAAGACGATGAGCGAGGGCATGTTATCAATTTGGACTTTATATTGGTGTCCATATTGCTATTGAAATAATAAAGCTGTTGTACAATTTAGCTTAGTGTTTTAAAAAACGCTGCATAGGACAATTAAATGTTGCTTCACATGTGCTGTGAAACGGGACGACATATGCTCTGAATGTTCCCTCTGACGACTCGAAACTTGCTTGAAAAACCATTTATGGCTGCCGTGAGCCTGCCCGAAAATGTCTTTCTGGGTGCTCCAGGCCTGCTACAAAGGGCACTTTTGCCTGCTCCCAGGACTGCTCCCAAACCAATGTACCCTGTTCCGCACCTCCCTGTTAAGTTTTGTACTACATGTTGCCGCATGGCATTAGCAAAATGCATGAGAGTAATGTAAGGGGACACTTGTCCTTCCTAAACTGGGAGATCTAGTCACATTATCAATGGCGGTTCCTTGTCATGTAGACATCTGATTCAGCTTGTTGACATATTCGCTGCTCTGTTTTCACAATTAGGTGAGGCAGATGAAAGCAGAGTTCATCTTTGGCCAGTTCACGCTTACACTTGCGCTGGCTCTTGCTAAAACACGACACTTCACTGAGCAGGTGAGGGGACACTTTGCTTGTTGAAGTCTTCATTGCACTTCTTGTAATCATGATAATCTCTGAGCAGGTACTTGATGTCTTGAAATCTGCTGCATCATTTCACATTCAAAGGCAAGCCAAGTATAGAGAGTATATGTGGGTTCGAGAAATGATTCCTGTGCCAAAGGACATCAAGCAGCTTATTGTCAATATGATTAAGCACAGGTTGGTCTGCTTGATTCTGAATCTTTCTCTCTTCCAAGTGTCTGTTTTTTTTTATAAAGTGTGTGTGTATGTACCTTAAAAGCATGTATTTAATGTTACTAGTTATACGATTGTAAAATCAGTGGCATTGCTAAAGTTTTGCTTGCTGTTACAAATTTTTGTATCGGCATGTACACTTATTCACACATTTATATTTTGTGTTGGCTATCATTCAGTAGCTCTTTTTTTGTGGGGACAAGACAGAATTTCAATTTGGTGAGTTTGTTATTGACCATATTATCAGCACTTCAACATTATGTATGGTTAAATGGCTTTTATTTTGAATATATAAAAAGGGTAAAGAGAAGCAATGGTTTGCTGCAGTGAATTGTTGCCCCAGTAAGCAAATGACAGTGTGATTGGTTTGTACCTTAGAAAGTACAGTTGTGTGTTATTGTGTTCTCATTATGTGTGTACATGTTCTGGGTTTATATGCATGATATTTTAAATGATGTAGAAGGAAGCAATGTACAGTTCAGCACATATTCAGCTTGAGCTATTAGTATCATGTGCTGAATAATGTGAGCTGTTGCAAACTTGCAATTGGTGATAAATGCTAGTCTGTGATAAATATGCCATAAATAAATATGCCGATAAATATGTTATAAAACAAATAGCATTCATTCTTTAGGTACAAAGGAATCATGTAAATTTTGTACATCAGGTGCAAATTGTACTGAAATGGCCTGACTATAAGTGAGGTGCTGCCTTGACAAGATCAGAAAAAATTAAACATGGGCTCACATGAGTACACATCATACTGAAAAGTAGCTTTTTATGGATACTTGGAGGATGAATACACTTAAAGGCAAAGGAATCAGATGCATAAATTTCAGCTTGAATTGTTGCAGTTTTGCAGTCCACAGGGATGGGTGTTTAGTAAACATTGAGCTACTGAAATGTGGATAATGCAAGCGCTCATAACTGCTTTCTTTTTCTGTGACCTTTAAGTAGCCTCTTGTACTAAGTAGATGTATCAGGACATGCTCAACGTTGGGTCTCTTTAGTTTTGTTTAAAATTCAAAGCAAGCTAAAATTACAATTTTGCCAAATGGCTAATTGAAGAAAGGGCTCAATGACTACCGTTTTTAATATCTTTTGAGAGTGTAAAGGTCAGCAACATTTAGTGGGAACACTTTATTAGCGATCAAGCTGCTATAGCTACATTATTTCTTCTACCTTACTCACGAAATGTGCCTTCTGTGGTGCCTAATGTCTATAAATGAAGTAGTAGTTTTCTCAATTTTATGTTAAAGGGACCGACAACCACTTTTATGGTGCCGTTTTTTTTTCAGTGGAACGAAAAGCTTTGTCATTATTACCTTAGTCTAATCATGGAATGGCGAAGTGGGAAACGCGTGAAACATTTGTAATAGAAATTTTTCTATCTGCAGCAAATATGAAGTCGTATACTCGCATGCTGCAAACAGCGAGTGCTTGAGTGCTTTGTGTTTGAGCGTGGTGGCTTACTGCGCTTGCATACGGAGTACACGCATGCATTGCGGCTCGACCTGGTCCACTGGTGGCCACAGGGGCAGCGCTGCTTTTCACCGTGCGACTCTTTTTAAGTCGAAAGCACTGTAGAATTGAGCGGGGCTGGGTAATGATATACGTACTCTAATTTTCAAGACTGGCACGCATGACAGCCTCAGGCTTTGCGACTACGTTCAGAAAAGGGATCGACTCCATATTTCATAATCCAGCTTCAATTCTCTTCAGCTAGGCTGTGCAACATGTCGGTTTTTGTTACTTTTAATTATGATTTAAAATATAAATACTACTCACAATGTGAAAAAAAATATGCTGGAGTCTGTGATTGTATTTTATGGTCTTTTAATCTCTACTAGGATCTAATCACGCCTTCTAGACAGTTGTAGGTCCCTTTAAACATCAACTTGTGGAATCTTAAATACTAATGAGCACTGTAGAATTGAGCGGGGCTGGGTAATGATATACGTACTCTAATTTTCAAGACTGGCACGCATGACAGCCTCAGGCTTTGCGACTACGTTCAGGAAAGGGATCGACTCCATATTTCATAATCCAGCTTCAATTCTCTTCAGCTAGGCTGTGCAACATGCCGGTTTTTGTTACTTTTAATTATGATTTAAAATATAAATACTACTCACAATGTGAAAAAAAATATTCTGGAGTCTGTGATTGTATTTTATGGTCTTTTAATTTCTACTAGGATCTAATCACGCCTTCTGGACAGTTGTAGGTCCCTTTAAACATCAACTTGTGGAATCTTAAATACTAATGAGGTGTTTTCTCTTTGTGTGACTGATCTTGCGCTTTTTTTTTTTTTGTCAGTCAGTAATTTATTATTCTTATGCAATAAAATGTTGTTACAGAAAAATATACAGACGAGAGTCCCGTAGTCGAAGACTGCAGCGAAACCCTCGGTTAATAATAGGTAGCAAGAAGTCTAAAAACGGAAAAAAAAAAACTGTGAGCAGGTAAACAGTAACAAAAAGTTTTTAAAAATAATTAATATACAAAGAAATATATATTGAACACAGTGGCAAAGTGCAGTACCTGAAGAAAAAAAACTAACAGAACTAATCGTAACGTAAGTGTTGCATTGTGATGATCACAAACAACAACCTGTAGAAGTAGTGATATACTCCATTGCATAAATCGATATTTGCAAATAAAAACGTTTATTGGCATATCTGAATTGATGAAGTTTTGATATGGAGGAGTAAATCATTCCACAGGTTTATGGCGGTGAAGGTGGTGGTCATTTTGCCTTAGTATGTACAACGGGTAAAAAGAAGTAAGAGTGTTATGTAAACCTGATATTATCTTTATTAATAAGATAACTGGAATCAATAAACTCGTATGAGAGCTGTTTATTAAGCATTTTATGAAACATAATAGTGAGATGATAGCTGAGCAAACCTGATATATGTAATAGGTTATGGTCATGAAGTAATGGAGACATATTGGTAAGGGAGTTGCTATTAGTTATGGTGCAAATGGCTTGGTTTTATAAGCGCTGAATAGATGGTAAATGGCAATGATACGTGTTACCCCATGAGACAATGCCGTAGATGATGGGACTGTTAATGAAGGCAAAATATAATGATAATAGGGCACCAGTAGAGATATCTGATTTTGATCTAATTATAGCTCTTATACCAAATGTGCATTTATATTTAATGAAAGCAGTATGATCTGAAAACTTATGGTTACAATCTACTTTAATGCCCAAAAAAGATGTACAATTAGGTCATATCAATATGACCATTTAAAATTAAATTAGGTCTATTTGGTGGTATTCTTTGCATATATCTAAAGATCATAAAAGTCGTTTTGTTAGGATTGATGATTAATTGATTTTAAACACACCACGCAACAATTTGTTTAAGTTCACTGTTAAGTTTAGAGATTAAGCTGGATAGAGATTTATTATTTAATGAGATGGTAGTGTCATCTGCATACAGTACACTGTGCAGAGCTAAGACATGATGGTGATTCAATAATATAGATAGAAAAAAGTAAGGGGCGTAGTATAGATCCCTGCAGTACACCTTGAATAATAATTTTGGTATTTGAATAAACACCACCTGTAAATACTTGCTCTCTGTTGAGCAAGTAGCTAGGAAAGTGGTTTAGGATGGGACCAGTAATGCCAAATGACTCGAATTTTAGAAAAAGAATGTTATGATTAATACTATCAAAAGCTTTAGTAAAGTCTAAGAAAACAGATGCAACAAAATTTCCACTGTCAAGTGAGTAACAAGTGTACTCTGTTAGCGATAATGAAGCTAAGCTAGTCGAACTTCCCGTACGAAAATCAGGGATTTAACAAATTGAACTTTCTTATGTAAGCATTTAATTGTTTACAAAATAATTTTTCTACAAGTTTACTAATTGATGATAGAATAGAAATAGGACTATAATTAGACACCTCAGATTCATCACCTTTCTTATATACCAGATTGATTCTTGCCTTTTTTTTAGTGAACTAGGAAAAACGTCACTTTTGAAAATGCAATAAACTATAGTGTAAAGGGTTTTAGAAATGAAAGGTGCAACAATTTTCAGGTGTAAAACTGAAATGTTGTCGAAACCAGCACTGGCGTTTTTCAGAGCTGATAAAGTAGAGCTAATAAAACAGAGTACACTTTATCAGCCCCCGCCGCGGTGGTCTAGTGGCTAAGGTACTCGACTGCTGACCCGCAGGGCGCGGGTTCGAATCCCGGCTGCGGCGGCTGCATTTCCGATGGAGGCGGAAATGTTGTAGGCCCGTGTGCTCAGATTTGGGTGCACGTTAAAGAACCCCAGGTGGTCTAAATTTCCGGAGCCCTCCACTACGGCGTCTCTCATAATCATATAGTGGTTTTGGGACGTTAAACCACACATATCAGTCAATCAACACTTTATCAGTAGTTACAGAAAACAGAAAGAAAGAGCGATTACATCGTGTCATAGAATACACAGAAGCTGAAAATGCACACAACTTTATTTAATGGTGTCATGCATTGGCAGATTTGGAGCACTTTCAATAATATTTTCTTCAGCTTCATGCGGAGGAAGTCTATTCCTTTGGCGGGTTGAGAGTGCTCCCTCTATGTTTCATTGGCAGATCTGGAACAGCTCTGCCACGAGATCCGCTCCACTGGGCAACTTTTCTACTCCGCGAAAATCAGCGGATTTGACCGGAAGTGGCAAGCACCCCGTGCCTTCAAGCGGCGCCAACTTTGGGCGTGACAGCGGACGCCAGTCGCAACAGTTGCGCCTTGCGTCAAAGCTCAAGTTTTGCTAACGTAGCATCGCTGTTCCCAGCGTGCTCACTCAAGCAAGAAGCATGCATCGTGTTTTCATTCTGACCCTGCCATTTGCTCCAGAGGTAGCATGTGTGTTCCATTGGTAGATTCCTTTCTCTTGCCCTCCGCCAGAGTAAAGTGCTCCAGTGCAGAGTTCGTCCCTCCTAATTTGCCAATGGATAACGCCATTAGTTAGGTCAATATTAATGAGAACTAACAGCCAATCATGTTAGTTTGTGTCAAACAAAAAAAAATGAGCCCTTAAATTTATGCTCTTTCCTTCATTTAGGTCAGTCATTTGTGCACTAATGTGTGCATCCCCATCTAGGTAATTGAATTCTTTCATTGTTGGACTGGAATGCTCTCGCATTCCTTTGCCTAACTGCTCTGCTAGATGTGTTAGTAAAAATAGTACCTACTGCTTATTATGTTTTTTCAATTTCATTTTTCTTTTCTCTACAGCAAGTGTGGCTGGGAAGAATCGTCACAAAGCCTTGTTGAATTTGGTTTTTTGCTTATGGACATGTACAATCCTCGTGCTGGATTTGGAAGAACAGGGCACAGCACAGCTTTTGACTGCTGCCAACTTGGACAAGCAATTGTTCTTGAGACATTCATAGTAAACAGGGATGCTTCTGGCAACATCATGGACCTCGTTGTTGATCGGTTTCTGTCCAAGCCATGTGCACCTACAGATCATTATTTCGGTATGTCTGCTTTAACCAGTTTGATATGTGCTTCCTTTACTACTTCTTACATTACCTGGGACACAAAATTATCCATAGTTAAAGAACCCCTGAGAGTGAACTTTTTGTGTCTGACTTTTTTATTGTAAATTGTAGCTTCGTGCCATTAATCCAAAAACTGAGTCGCAAATGCTCAAACACATTGTATATTTAATGCATGCGTCATTATTTGCAACCAATTTTGCACCACGTCGAAATGCCAGCCTAAAATCGTAAGAAATTAGGGGCCCACAGCTGGGGAGTGCCGAAGGTCATGTGCACTCACGCTTTGGTAATGTTGGTTTTCAAATAAAGGTACTGCACATAGTGAAGATTGAAATGATGTGGGTTCTTCGATTATACTTAAGCCTGTTAAGTGCATGTCCTGTCAGAAACAAGAAAAGCATTCCTGGCGTAAGCAGCTGATACTATCCCGAGAGCAGCTTGACAACAGAGTGAGAAGGGCGAGGAACCCTTGCCAGGTGCCAGTCGTGGTATTTTGTGTGCCCCGCAGATCTTTTTTGTAAAGTCAGCAACACTCACTTTACTCGAACATCACTGAGTCTTAATCTTCGTCATAGCAGTGGTGATGTTACAGGGGCTGCCAACTCTGACAAGCGCTCATGCTTACTTTAAAAACAACCTAAAATGTCTGAAAGCTTACGTCTGCCACTGATAATTGGTCCGAAGGGCCCACATGTATACAGGGTAATCAAACAACACAAACATGTTAAGATTTCAAATTTTGTGTCAGGGGTCCTTTAAAGCTAGTGCAGCACATTGGCAGCCGGAGAGATTTCTTTTTTTTTGTCTAGCAGAATACGCAACATGCCTTTATTTCAAGCAGGGAAAATGTTACCAGGAAGGAATGTGACTTATAGTAAAGACAAGTGTTTTTCTGACATTTTCCACAATCACATATACAACTCAACTAAATTGTGGTGCATTACTTGGTAAACCAGTCAACTGGCCGTCCATCCTTATACAGTTGAATCTCATTAATTTGAACACGCTTAATTAGAACTTCGGGTTAATTCGAGCTCACAATGGGGTCTTGTCAAAGATGTTTGTATTCCAATGGGCGAAAACGCCCTGTAATTCGAACGCGCAAGCACTTGCGACGGTTAATTCGAACATAGCGTGCTCCGAAAATGCTGTCATCAGTCCGCCCGATCCCGCGTTGGCACCTGCGATACCTGAATGCTGTGCTCGAAGGAAATGAAAAGGAAAGAAAAGGCTGCAGTGAATGTTTGCCCTCTCTCAAATGCCGATCTGTGACGTGCTCGTGTCACGCTTCTCCCTTTTTCGTCCCTGCCACGTAAAGATCCTTCTCCTTCCAACGCCGCGCGCGAAGAGAGAGAGGAAAAAAAAAAGAAAGCTGTCGCTGGGGTGAATGAATGTGTGGTTGAAGGAAATAAAAAAAACACTATCTTCTTCAGCCCTTTCCCCTTGCAGGAGCACGGCTCTGCGCCTTGAGGGGGGGGGGTCTCACGCGCCGGTGCCATGATTCCCCCCTTTTCTGTTCCTGCCACGTAACATTTCTCCTTTCAACGACGCGGGCGAAGAGAGCAAATTAAAAAAAATTTAAAAAAGCTGCCATGGAGTGTTGATTTTCTCTCAAATGCCGATCTGCTTCTCTCCGCGTGGACACGCTCCTCCTTTCTCGTCACGTGCTGGCCATGCTGCGGCTGCGTAGCGGAGAGACTCTGCTGCGCAGTCGTTGTTGTCGTCTGTAGAAAGCGCCGGCGATAGACATTTCCGTGCGCAGCTTCTCTTGCCAGGAGAATGCTGAAGCCGAAGTAGAAATGCTTTGCAAGCTGCGTGCAAAATTGATTGACTCGCTGCAAGGGAAACGTGTGCAAACACGCATCACCGATTACTTCAATTATTAACGGATGTCCTGTGATTTGTGAATAAATGTAAGTCATCTGAAACTTCCCCCTCGTTTGTTAGCTCAATGCACATGCACCACTGCATGGAGAGCCCTCCGTTTATGTAGCTTTCATTAATTCGAACAAATTTTGGGCCCCTTCAAGTTCGAATTATCGAGATTCAACGGTATATGTAAAACATAATTTTAAATTGCAGCTGGGTAGATGTTAGGTTACAAGCATGACCAGGGTTTACAATTTTAACACCGTTTTTTACCACTTGGAGAATCTTGGCTGTTGAAATTCAAAACTGTGTAGGGAAGAGGCTTTTCGACTGGCAACTTATGGGTTTTGCATTCATCATTTATTGACTTTATGAACACCCCAATTGAAATATTTCTCGCCACCCCTTCAAATTGTTCCCTCTTGTCTAATAAGACAGATGCTTGGGCTAGTTGGTGATTGAGAATCAACATATTTGCACAGTGCATGTTTGTCCCTGTCTCTTCTTTTGTAGTTACGTCGTAACTACTCATAGTCTTGCGCTGTGCAAATATGTTGACTGTTTTCTAAATTTGGTACTACGATGTTTATTGCCTTCTTTGGCACAACCTATTCAGTGTGCTTTCTTAAGCTAACCAAATGAGCTCATGGAAGGAAAAGTGCAGTAACCTCGTTGATACATTTTCTTTAAAAAACGTGGAAAATGAACATACAATCCGACTCCAGAGAAAAATTGAGGCTGACAAGTTCACACCGAGGTATAAGGGCAAAAAACATTATTTATTTCTAAAAAAACAATTTTCTGCTGCTGCCTCTCACCCTTGGACAAGAAAAGCTCCTGCACACATCGTAGACCCTCGTCCACGTTTTCATTGTTTTTTGTGCAAAAGAAGCTTTGTAAGGCGTCTAGTCCAGCAAGGGCTTCTGCAAAGTTAGCCGGTCGGTGCACATTTTGGTTGTCGCCGCTGTCTTTCGGTGCCTTATTTCTCGCCTCCTTCGCGGCGGCACCTCCTACCACCTCTGCAGCAATCTCGGCAACACTTTGGAACTCGCAATTCGGGACATTGTCGTCTATCGAGACGAACTCTGTGAAGCGTGCATCGGTGCCGGTGGAGAGGAACTCCGCTTTGACGCCGTCGTCGATGTCAGATGCGCAAGCCACAGGGTCGCCTTTGCTGCGCTTTGTATCCTCCGATGCAAAGTGTCGGTGAAAACCGCACTTCCTGCAACAGTTGCTAATCGTTTCACTCGTCACACTATCCCAAGAAATGCTCAAGTAGTGCACCGTGTCGAGAAGCGATAACTTCTCGGGGTCATCACCATGTGACACGCGAGCAAGGAAGCGTCGCACATTATATTTCTGATGGAAATGTATCGCATTCTTAGGAATACCAGCGTCGAAGGGTTGCAAGGGGCTAGTCGTGTTGGCAGGTAGAAACACAACACGAAGGTTGCAAAGGAATGACATCTCCTACAGAATGCCACTGCGCCCCTGGCATCCTAGGGGTCCATCGAGGTAACGCAGGAAGCATTAAAAAATCTCGCAGGTCATCTCCGCCTGTTGATACAAAGTAGACGAAGGATGTTCTGCAGGTATATTGGGCTTTTGGATTTGCCATTCATCCACGGCTTCATCATGTCACTGCCGTCAACAAACCAACACAGTTGCGTGGTCTTTGCTGACCTTTCCACCGTGGCAGGACTTGCCCTTCATGCTCAAAGATTTGCTAGGTTGAAGCGGGGAAAAAGGCTTAGTTCATCCGCATAGTAAACGTCGTGTGAATCATAGGAATTAATTATGGTGGGGAGCAGTGATAACCAGTTATCGACGTCGGCCAGGTTCACATTTGCTGCCTCCCAATTTACCTTTCGGTAGGCGACGCCATGCCTTGTTCAAAAGCGGCTTATCCAGTCATTGGAGGCGGTTAGTTCAATTGATGCCAAGAACATCGTCAATTTCGAGTACGGTGCCATCAAAGTTAACTCCGGAGGCTTTTGATTGCTTAAACCACTTCAATCGTGCCTCCTGCAGCTTCCAGTGGCGGGCTCCACGGGCTTGCTTTGTTGTGCCCCCGAATACCAAGGCGTTTGTCGCGATCTCTTTCCACTTTGACACTGCGGTGTTCACAGTAAACGTTGGCAGTCCAAGTTAGTTTGCTATGTCGATTCGCTGCCTCTTGGGGTTCCTGTCAAGAGCCGCTAGGATAATCGACAAGAGCTAAATCGACAAGGGCTTGCGGTTTTTTGACGCCGTGCTAGATGCAACATTCTCGGATCGCGAACTACTGAGAAATGCAGGGTAGCGGGAGGCGACAATCGAAACGCTGTAAGGAAACCACTGTCACGGCGCGGCGGCAGTCTGCCACATGGCCCTTCACAAGCATGCGAGAGTGGTTTTTTTGCTCACCTGCATGAGAATTTTCGCCCACGGAACGTATCATACGACCACAGTTTGCCGCAGTACCTAATGTTGCTGCTGAATAATTGTATTTTCTGGGAACCTGTGAAGCGGAACGTATTAACACGTCGCTCTATGGGGGCATTTCTAGTTTTTGCGATTTTGAGCACAGGAGCCGGGAAATTGTATTAAGCGGGAACGTGTCAACGAGGTTCTGCTTTACTTATACACTGTGCTGAAACCGGGAGGTTATAAGCAAATTTGTTCTGGCCTAAGGATTGAGCGTAACTCCAGAGAGAGGCAGTGCTAGGAGCAGTCACTGGACCAGGAAAATAATACCCCTACTTTAACATTTCCTTTCTACAGCACAAACAACATGCTTTGATGTTCAGTCTACGCTGCTATCTGATCAACTAGCCTTACTTTTGGAATTAGTGCAAAGCCTTGTGCATTTTTCCAGAGCTTCTGGCCCAAATGATTCAGACAACACCTCAGCTCCTAGTTCAGTGCCAGTCACAGATGCAGAAGTTATTGGGCCACCTGCCTAACATGCCCTGCCATAGCACTGCAAAGCTCTTACGTGCATCAACACCACTCATCAAGGCATCTGCAACGCTTTGTGACTGGCTTATGATCGTGCTGCGCAAGCTGCTTTTTTACCGGTGAGTTTCACTCTGGCTTCTATAATAGAACCTTCACTCAAGCTTTTCATGCACACAAAGATTTCATGAGTAGTTCTCCACGTAATGAAAAAGCATTTAGAGGTACCAACAATATTTAGTAGGTAGATGCATGCGTTGCTGTGTAAAGCCGTGTGGCAAGTTAACCCCTTGGCTTTCATGCTTTTCACAGCTGTTCCCGTGTTTTATTCCGCGGGAAAATTTTTGTGCCCGCAGGCAGCATGGGTCAGTGCATATAAATCATGATAAAATCCATGAAAGACGTCATGGCAAAACAATTTTTTTAATATTGTTACCAATGCTTTCTGCATCTACTGTTGTGTGCCTTGTAAACTAAGCCTAGCCTTGAGAGGTACTTCTTTGCTTTGTTTGGCAGGATGCAACGAGAAAAATGCGCCTACTCGCCAGCTTGTAGATGCATTTGTGAGGCCGTGACAGGATGATTTTCACGTGACTGCGTGTTTCGAAAAAGCCGGCAGCGTGCACCCTTCACCGCTAAAAACACACATACACATGTACAGCCGCATCCACATCTGTGTGCAGGGTGCGCAGCTGGTTTTTGCTCTGTGGAGCGACACCTTACGGTAGTTGCGGGCACTTATGTGGTCAGCAAGACTATTATATGCTCCTGACACACTACATTAGAACCCAAAACTGCTGCAAGGTGTAGCCCCACATAGCAAAAACAGGCTGCCCGTGCAGTCTACACAGATGTGGCCGGTGGCTATACAAACAGCTCCAACAACAGACAACTATTTCCATCTAGTGGGATACCATATCAAGCATACGGCAAACATTAAATAATGTGCTGCCGTCTATAAAACATTGTGAAACACACCCATTTTCTAAGAGACCGGCGATTCGCCAGTCAAAGTGCTTTCGGCCTTACCAACAGGGCTCGCCGACCACTGGCTGTGGAAGCCCATAGGTTAAAACACAGTTGTAAGTGCGCTAGATTGTTGTAAAAGGCTCAACCATAAAAAAAGTGCCAGTAAACGTGTCCTATTCTTACTTTTTTTCTCCCATATTTTCGCTGCGTAACTTTTCATCATTTAAATCAATTTTCAATAATACAACTTAAGTGCATGACTTTTACTGTTGTATAGATGTTTTCTTCTGTCTGTCGGGGTGCGATTTGAATTTTCTCATAATTCTAGGAACCATAAGCAGTTGTATGGAGTAAGCATATTCTGCCTAAAAATGAATCTTAGTTACATACAGTCTCGCACTTCTGTTATAACCAGCCTTAGTTTGTTGCATCAGTTTTTTCAGTTCACTTAATTGCATGCCATACATCGCTACACCGCGAGAATTTATACTGGTCACCCTCTCAAAGTTCTAAAACTACGCTGACACACAGCTTTCTTCTCTTTTCTATTTTGCTAACAGCCTCATATTAAAATGCCCTTGTCCATCATGCTGTAGCTACAAATAGTCGCCATATGTTCATTGCTCAAGTTTCTTTTTTTTAAGCAAATAATGACCTTTTCTTGTACAATTTCATCATTTAAAGCTTGTTTTCGTTTGTAGTATGTTAGCCTTTTTTCAAAATTTCAATGGTTATTTCGTTTAATGATCCACTCCACCACTTATGTGACACCCCTGATGAAGGGGCCATTAAGGAAATGAACTGACCTGACTCAATCTCGAAAGAAGTTGCTTGTAGGCTTGTGCAAATATTCGAGCCTTTCAAATATTCAAATAAATATTAACGTATTTGAATTTGCTTTGATTGGAATTAAATTATTTGAATTTCGAAGTATTTGAATTGAATTAATTAGTGTATATTGTCCGTATGTAGCCTCTTGTAAAGATGGTTTCACATCAGGGGTAGAGTGCTCTATCGTGAATACACCTTTTTAAGGAAAAGCCGCACTGCCGTAAAGCCTCACTTCAAGCCTAAATGAGCATATTACCCTCACATTGATTATTCCTTCTTTAGTTTAAAAGCTTGTTATGCCAGCTAATATGCTCAAAATATAATAAATTTTGAAATGTAACATATTTCACAGGTTATCTCTTGCATTCTACCGAAAGTCAAATTCTGTTACTATGCAAAGTTCAGGGATGGGAGTGCTGTGCCAGTCTGACCTGCTGTGCCTAAACGGCAATTTGCACATGCGACGCCAAATTTCGCCAAGTCTTGTCATCGTCCGAGCAACACACGTTGAATAACTTGACATCATGCACGAATCTTGCGTCATGTGAACAAAATGCATGAATGTTGTTGAGGTGGCACTTGTCAAGTACAGGCCCCATTAGGCGACTCTCTTTTAGCAGTGAAGCTGTTTGTCAAGCTATAACACGGCAGTGGTGGCAAAAAACTCGCCGCACCGTTTCCGCACAATTGCCAAGCACAGCACACGCTCTTCGATGGAGACCGCCGAACCATAAAAACTGGAAAAAAAAAAAAAAAATTTCGAAAGTAAAAGCTTCGTCGTTAAAGTGATGAATGCGATAGCAACAAATTATAATTTAGTGGTAATGCCGCAGCTCTCCTTTCTATTCTTGTTACCGCACCGTTATACATGTAACACAGCCTTGCGCGAACTGTGCCCGAATGACTGGTAGCCATCTAGGTAATCTTAGAACCTTCCAGTAAGATTTTGTGCACAATGCCTACATTGGAGTTTGTTTTGGAACTCACGCGATCGCTAGCAATAACGCTGGAATCTTCAATGCCATACCGACACGCTTCACTGTTTGACAGATTACCGATGGAAGACGCTTTATGTTTGCTGTTATCATTGCAGACCGTGTATTTCGTGCAACCTATTCATGTTGAGAGCGCACCATGTAAAAGGGTGTACGGTGCATGCGCTGATGCTTTCCGAGATAGTGTGCACACCTTTAGAATCAAAGTTCACACTCCAGCATTTGATGGCAGGTCTAACATGTGGCGGGATGCTATCACGTGCTCCTCCGAGCTATGGTGATCGGCCGCCTCGTTTCATCTCTGCTTGAGGAGCGCTCGTCGCCCCCGCTCGCGTGATTTTACCCGCTGTTAGAACATACGGTGCGCGAGGGATGTTACCAACTTGAAGTTTACGCAGAACGTGGCGGCGACGGCAAAAACCCGTAGAGTGTCCATATACTTTCTATCGAAATAAAAAAACTTTCCGTGCCATAGCCTAGCTATGGCGCAGCGAGCACATCTCATTTTCCTTGCGGTTCTCATGTAAGCTCCCCTCGAGACCCCACAAATGACCGGAACATAAGTTTTTAAAATTTGTTTTTAGTTTAGTCTTCTTCAGTTTAAGATGAAGATAACTGTTCTCAGCTCATCTCTAGTTTTGGGTTGCTGTTCATGTCGAATGCGGTGTTTTAATGACATTTTTAACATTAAAACATTTTAACATTAACGTTTTTTATTTGTCTGAGGTCTAGTAGCTATACAAAGCATCGCTTATGTCTTTTTTTCAGTTGCTGCACTTTCAGCTTTGATTTTGCAATATATATCTCAATTTGTGGTAAGTCTAGTCACTTCATCAGCATTGAATGGTTGGAAAAGCCACTGAAATTGTTTACCGGAAAACAAGAATTTCAAATAACGGTGATGTGTGACCCTAGAAATCTGCTCCAAAACTAAGCTTCATTGCTTCAAAACACATTTTTTGGTGCTGCAGAGCTGCTCCAAAACTCCCCTTTTACTGCTCCAAAGCTGCTCCAAAACCGCATTATTTCTGCCCCTTGAGCTGCTCCAAAAGGTTGAAGCCCACTTCCACCCCTGAAAGTTGTTTCCACTTCCATTAAACCAAAAAGAATGACATCTGCACATGCCTTATTTCAATTGAAAAAAAATTGTGCAAGTTAAGTGAGTCATGAAAAATATGCTCATTTTTTAAATAATATGTGATACATGCTAACGTTGAACCCACTTTAAAGATACCGGTTTTAATAATATATTGTTTATAACAATGAAATACTTTTTCACTGCCACTTCTGTATGTTTTCTATGGTGAAATAACCTTCTTATAGCAATGCCCGCATGCCGCATTATCGGTCATCACGATGAATTCTTGTGGTTGGGCGTTCATGCCAAGGTGTAATAGAATCCGATTGCAAAATCCTTGAAAAGAGAATTTGGTAGATCCTGCGTACCTTGGGAACCGATGTTATGCGAAGCATGCGCTTGCAAGCTGACTGTGTTTTAAATTTTTTATTGAGCAAAAATTTATGAAGTTCGGCTAAAGATATGTACGAATGCGCGCACAGATATACATTAAACAGCCACGTATGTTTTTTATATTACCAGTTTAAAGTTGCATAGCGATGCCAACAGCAACATGGATGTTAGTAACACCAGAAGCCGCAAGCTGATATAAAGCGCTGCTGCTCGTGAGGAAGGTAGCCCTGGACAATGCTACATAAATAAACTTAAGCGAATGACATCTGACTACAATTGATGTTAACCTGATGTGACGGCTGTATTATAGGGGTACATGTGAAATGTTTATAAAATCGGAAAGCCAGCACTGCAACCACAATTGGCGTTTCACGAACATAAGGGACTATTTAAAAGGCACTTGCGAAACCTGGCATGGCTCTGTGGTAGAATACTTGATTGCCATGCAGAATGCTAGGGTTTGATTCCTGCATGGGACAATGACATTTATTCTTTCCATTTGTCCGGTCAGCGCTGCCGATATCCGTTTTATCTCAACTCTCAAGCGTTAACATTACCCATGTGTGTTCTCGCCACTCCTGGGTAGATATAAACTGTCAGACACCTGTGGCACATACCCACGTACCCGTGGCCCATAACCGCCCCCGGGCATGTGCCACTGTCTGGTGGAAAGTGTGTGACGAGGTATGCGGCGGGATTGTGACATTATTTATGTCATGACCAGTGAGTCGCATACGTCAAACCATTTTATTCTCCCACACTAATTTTGGTTTACCCCAAGTTAAGGGGGGGATCATGAGAGCACCGATATGTAAGCGGCTAGACAGGCAGACAGACGGACGTTCAAAGGGCCTAGAGTACGAAAAAATGCTTCGCATTCAAAAGAAGAAAATGAGAAATTCAAGCTGCAAAACGTCCGCCCATACCCCCAACAGCGTACCCCTGAGTTCCTTCGAGAAATTCGGTATACTTCAGCACATATCGTTTTGGCATAACAGTAAAACTGACTTGGCATCCGCTACAGCGCGGGAGCTTCTGTTAAAACATACAATTTCAGTTAAACTGAGAGACTTTGAAGGGTTTCAGCGTCCTAAACTTCAGATGTTATATATTGGCTTTATGGCGCTTGTGGTGGAAAGCATCCGACTTTTTGTCATCCCTCTCACTGGTGTCTGTTGGTGTAATAGTTTTCTCCCAACAGTCTGTCATCCCCCCCCCCCCTTTTTTTTTTGTTGTAACCCGTTTATAGCACCTCGCGGCATTTGAGCACTGTTATAATTGTGTTACACTGTATTCGAAATCGATTCTAAATTATTCAAACCAAATAACTATTCGGTTTGAATTTATTTTGGACCTAAAATTTACTATTTGCACAAGTCCAGTTACTAACCATCTAGAAGTACTAGCTGTTAGGCACCATAACCTCTATCATTATCTAGGTATTGTTTGTGTAATCTTGACTTATTGATACGTTATGTCATCCTACTATGTATGTTTGTACAATACAAATTTTTTGTCTCTTATTTACATAGTGAGTTGGAATGCCGGAAGGTGGCAGTGTCTGGTATCCTCGTTCTGCTTCGCAACCTCAAGCCTCGAGGACCTGTTGGTGGCTTTGGTCGGGAGGTTGACTTTACCTTAAGTCAGGTACGAATTAAAAGTCAACACAATTCTGAGTTCCTTCAAGCAGTCTGGGAACAACAGATTCAACATTGCACTCTTATTTTTGACAGCATGAAAAGCATATAGCAATCAGAACACAGTAGAGCATCTCTGTTTTTCCTGTCTGGAAACAGTTTGTAAAACACCATATCAACCTGTCCAATACAAATGCTTTTGACAACACCTAAATGAGGTACAGGTTCAAGCTTCGTAAGCAAAGTGCTTATATAGGTGTCTTCCACGAAATGTCGAACGGAATTTTTTGTTCATTTCTGTTGAATGAAAAATGTCTTAGTGTGAATGAAACTCTGGAAAGGGAAAAAAATAAATAAAAAACAGGCATGGCCAAGTAACGCTTATTTAGTCTATTTGTGACCTCAGTATTAATTACAGGAAAACATTATGGGCTTATTTTGCACAGAAATGCAACAACGCCCTTGACAGTGTGTTCACACGACAGGGAATTGCAGATGAATCAGTCGCATGACATGTGATGTGACTCGGTTAGCTTCACAGCCATCATTAAAATGACAAAGGAGAATTTTGGTATTTCTTGGCAAAGTTCCAACAATGTTTCGGATGAACATTGTTTGACAAATCGCTTTGTGCAGATCTGAATAAGACTGCGTGAAAATCCACGAGCTTGTTTCACGATTTCGTCCGTCATGTGAACACTGCTTGACCTGTAAGGAAGATATTTAAAATATAATTACACACCGTATTTACTCGCACAATCCTTGCACTTTTTTTTGATGGAAAACTGATGCAAAGTTGGGGGGTGCGAGAATTACGCGGGGAAAACTTTCCACGAAAATGTACAGTGCAAAAAAGAAAACGAAGTGGCCGCAAATCGGGATTCTCACACCAGCAACAACAAGCTTTGAGAAGTACTAATTAAAACTTACATCAACATTAAAAGCACTGTTTCAACACAAGGCAAGATTTATTTGAGACACTAAAAGTGCAAGCAAACAGTCGAGAATTAGAATACCATACGCAAAGCTTGTGGGTGTTGCGGCCGTAGCAGTAGCATTCGTCGCGCACCAGGAGCCCTCAAAAGGTAAGCGTAGGACGTCAGTATTGGGCTGATGGCTATTTAATAGAATCGTCCGCAGTTTCCTTCTGAAGAAATAAAGTTTACGATCAATCGCAGATTTAGGCACACGGCAGGCCCAACGCGTCTTGGTGGCTTTCAGCTGCCGTCACCAGTAGCGAACACAGAACTTGTGGGCTCCGAAGAGCCTACCGGCAGCCCTGTTGCGGTTGTTTAGCGCATGATCCATCACTTGCAACTTGAAGCAGCCGTGTGGCTTCAGCATCGCCCCATAACGTGCCAAGATAACCGACACAACATACAAAACGCGCCGCAACGCGCACTTGCCACTTTGGCTTGGCTTGGATTGGATTGAATCTCCATGCAGTAATAGTATGATTGATTGTTAAGAGATGGCGCCAGATGACGCGCGCTATTATCGCCAGTGGCTGGAACGAGCAGACGACATTATTGGGGCAGTTTTCGTGGGTGTGATAGTTACTCGAGGGAAAAAAGAAGTCGTATTTTTGTTGGGCGATGTGGGGGGTGCGAGAATTATGCGAGTGTGAGGATTAAGCGAGTAAATACGGTATGTGGTTCTTTGGGCAGCAAGTGCTTAAAAAGAACTGAATTGTGAAATCACACCGCAGAAGCAACATTAATTTGTTAAAAAATATTTATTTATTCCTTTATTAAAAATACTTTCTGGGTCCAAAGAATCTACTGGTTTTCTTTTGCAAAACAGGCAGTTATAAATAAATATATATATATATATATATAGATACTATACTCACAAGATATTTTGTAAGCCAAACTTAGAACTAATGGTAATCAGTTATGTTTGTATTTATAGATGGAAAGCAGTTACAGGTGACGCTTGTTCTAGCAACGAAAGATTTGTTGCATTATTTTTATGACATGGAGGTAGGCCTACCTTGTAGAAATGGTTGGTCCTTAATGTTAAATTTTGTGGGTTCATCAATATTTTTCACATAACAAGAATTCTGGCTGCAGAATATCTAAGTAACGTGCCAAGAAAAAGTATGAAGCAGTTCTCGCCAAACTGTGAGCATTAGCCTACGAGAAAAAAAGTGGGATGTGTGTGTCTCATTGACCCATGAAGCGTCTTAGAAAAAGTGGGAGAAGACCTGTCTCATTGTGTCATGAGGGCACCTAGCTGTAATGCTTGAAAAAACCTAATACAAGTGGTACAGAGGGACACTTAAAAAACTGCGCAAAGAAAAATTTGTGGTGGACATTTCCAGATGTACGCAATCTACGCCTCCGCCTGTTGTGTTGAGCCACCTTTGTGGGTGAGAAAAACTCTGTTTTTCTTACCTCCAAAGGAGGCTCATGTACCAGCAGCGAGGCCCATAGAGGGTCAAGTTTGGTTTTATGAGAGTTTTACAAAGTGCAGTAAAGTCTCATTACATAAGATGCTCAGTTGCAAGAGATGTGTAGAGAAAAAAATGATGAAGTGGAAGAGTGCATTAAGCATGAACACACTGGAAGTAGAAAAAGGCAGGACTATAGCTGTCTTAAAAAATTGTTATTACATAGAACCGAGCCCGATGTACTAGAAATATACTGCACAATGATGGAAGGGTGAGTTAGTATATTTGCATCATAAAATAGAACAGCGCAAAGAGTGTTAGCGAGGCAGAATGAATGTAGAAAATGTCAGCTCTCGCTCTTTTTTTTTTCTACGTTCCTTCCACTGTATCTAAGCACGTTTTTATCCCTGTTTCATTTTGTCGTGCAAGTATACAAACTGACCTAACTTTCCATCCTTCTTATGCTGAAGTGGTTTGGTTGGTTGTCTTATGTTTGCCATGTTAACATTGTATACAAGAGACGTGTTTATGAAAGACCATCTGCTGCCAAGGAAAACCATTTTAGGTCCCAGAGTAAATTCTTCCCTGTCTAGATGGGGCACAATCCAGCCAAAATACACAAAGTAGCTGATGTGATACAGTCGAACCTCGCTACAACAAACGGCGCTTCAACGAAAAATTGGTTCCCCGTCAACAGTCCATAGGAGTCAATGCATAAATATTGTAGCCACAACAAACACTTTTTCTTCTGTTGTCTTTCTTCAACGTAATGCCACGATGCAATTCCAGGCTCAGATATTTATTGCTATACAGTAAACACAATCTTTAACATTCTGATGCATTTTCAGCACCTGAAAATACGTCGACGAAGTCTAAAACACACAGCACCACCAGATATCGCCGCTGTTCAGCAAGCATGGGCATCGCCATTGCTTGATAGCGATGGCAATGAGATTGCCCTGCTTTTGCCACAGGCTTGTTTTGAGCCGCAGATGATCTGAAGTTGAAGCTCAGTCGCTCATTTCATGGTTTTCTTTCACGTAGCTGTATGGAACAATGCCTTTTTCGATGCCAATGCGTATCATTTCATTCGCACTTGGCAATTGTGGTAAATAATCAGAGCGGCTGTTCGTCTGCATTATGAACAAAATCAGCTAGCCGCGAGGGGTGGATGATAAGAATCTGGTAACGTTGATAAGAATGGCATAGGATAAGGCAAAAGTCACTGCTCCACGAAACCCTACCTCCATCTCGGCGTTGTGAGATACTTTGACGGCGGACAGCTGGTGGTGTTAACGTGTTTGTGCAGCTGTTTGGTTCGTTCATGAAGTGGTTGTAGGCGTTGTTTCAGCGTGCTTTTCACCATGGCTTCGCTATGTATGAGTGGGAATTGGGTCATGGCGCTGCTGTGAAAGAATAGGAAGCAGCGGACGCTTTTTGAATATTGAGAATAAACATTCCTTTGTTTTGCTAGCTCAGATCAGCCATATTTTTTCATTTCACTACAACGAAATTTTTTTCGCCCTCCGCCAGATTCGTTGTAGCAGGGTTCAAGTGTATTACCATCCACTATGCACTACATTTTACAGCGGAAGGTGTTATGAGATCAAAACTCGGGTCACATGCAGCTTTATAGTTGTCTGCCACTGCTGTTGGTGTGCGTAACCAATGTCGCACGAAATAAGATAAAGAACCTAGTACCAAGGAAACAGTGGGGCTCGAACCCAGGTCTGCTGCGTGCCATTCCAGTATTCTACCACTGAGCCATGCCAGTGCTTGGGATTTGTTCGCAAACTTGCCTTGGACAGGCTTGATGTCTGGAAAAAAATCACGTTAGTATGAGTAATAAAGCATTTTAAAACAGCAAAAGAACAACCAGGCGTTACGGTATTCACACAATGCGAATAGTGTAGCGAATGGGTCGTCCAATGCTCTAACCCATTACAAAACTAGTTCTTGATCACCTGTTACCTGTGGCACAAACCCACTTTTGGCATAATTCCTCATCGTCCTCAGTGTGAAGGCAGGTTCTACTAATTACGGCAACTTAAATACTCGTTACCGAGATGGATGAAGATATTGGCACGAAGATGAAAACATGTTTATAACGCAAGAGATGGCGTAGGGGTTGTCCTCAACGAAGCGATACACAAGGGACTACTATGACAGACACTGTTCACGTAAGGCAGTTCCCCCACTACACGAAACAAGGCTGACAAAGTTTCACCATGGCGGGTCGAAGCCTGCTAGGTCGATGAGTCACTGCGTGGAGTCTCACGCTGACAGCAGGGGTAGGACAGACGTAGTTGAAATCACGCTGAAACGACGTGGAAGAAACTCGTCTTGGCGATAATGGTAGGACCGGGTCTTGAATGCACCCGGGTCCCAACACAAAGGACTGGCGCCGGCTACTGGAACACCAGTCAGGGTGAACGTCTCATGGGCAGGCAGAAGGCACCGGTCTGCTTTGGGACCAGGACCCGACGAGCGCCTCGGCCTGCGAATGTTTCTCCGTCACGCTCTCCAACCCACTTCCTCTTCCTCCACTTCTCTTCCTGCCTGTCCGGCTTAGCTTCCCAATCACTGTTGTTTCTTCCAGCCTGTCTTGTCGTCATTTTCATCGATGCACCACACAACACAGAACCACAAGCACCGCTCACCGCACGAAAGTACGGCGCACAACATGACAGTCAACCACTGCATGAACAATTGGCAGAAAATTCCTTGAAAGTGTTTAGCGGATACCACACTTCTCAGAAGAATTACAGAGGATAGCATAGCGAATGCTAACCTACTACCCAGAAATTATTATTATCGGGGTTCGTAGCGTTCCTTGAAACCCTTGAAAACCCTTGAATTTCTGAATGGCATTTTCAAGGCCTTAAAAACCCTTAACTACCCAGAGGTCGAAAGTCAGTTGTTGGGAGAAAATTGTGCTCGAGTTGTGATACTCGTATCCCGAAGGACTACAGCCACTAGCGTGAGTCCGGTCTCAGCGAGCTGCAGGGCACGCGATAACCATCGCCGCGGCGAGAAGACGATACTGCTCAAGGTCGCAACACTTTATTGTCTGCGGCAAGACCAAAGCGCAGTACAGCCCGTTGCGAATGCGCGGCAGGAAAACAAATGGGCTTATCCACGCCACGGGCGAGAAGTACTACACAGGGTGCCGCGAGCACGTCTCCGTGGTAAAAGTGATTAACGATGACACCGGGACCAAGACCCGGTTGCTCGAGCAAGGGCAAAGGCGCTCGCGTTGGCTTCAGAAAGATACAGGTCAGCGCAGCTTAGCCACGCACTAGGACACCGCTTCACTCCTCGGCCTAGTGTTCGGAAGGGGTCGACATAAGGTAAGCGTTGGCTGAGGGTGCAAGGCGCTGTTGGCGAAGTCCGAACGAGCCCCAAAGTGAGCCGACGGATGGAAAAGAAAAGCGTGCTTACCCCCTTTTTTTTCCCGGAGAGGTCGCTCTCACTCCCGACGCGTGCGTGCAGAACCTCTCGAGAGACTCTGCGCGCGGCGTCACAGTCGGCATCCGCTACCAGGCGAGAGGGGTTAAGCGTCACTACTCGCTCTCCCAGTGCGGCAGACCATGGAGGAGGGTAGTCATGTCGGGACATGAGAACGGAGAAAGAGGCGGCAAAGTCCGTGCCATGGCGGCGGGCTAGCTTCGATTCCCACAGAGTGTAAGACGAACGCGGAGGTGTGAGAATTTTATGAAACGGTGCAGTAATAGCGTAGTTAGTCACGTTTGATTATCGAAACCGTGACGACCACATCTTTCGCTCTCTCCTGCACTTCCCTACGCTGGTATCCTTTTCCGCGCCACTTTGCCCTCTTGCCAAGCGTCCCTTTCGATCTCGCATGGCATACGTCATCGCTAACACGCAGCTTGAAACACAGTCTACTTCCGGTTGCCGCGACTACAACTATCGACTTCGTCAGTTGCGTGCTTGTTAGGTCGCGGGTTCGCATCCCGGCTGCGGCGGCTGCATTTCCGATGGAGGCGGAAATGGTGTAGGCCCGTGTGCTCAGATTTGGGTGTACGTTAAAGAACCCCAGGTGGTGGAAATTTCCGGAGCCCTCCACTACGGCGTCTCTCATAATCATATGGTGGTTTTGGGACGTTAAACCCCACATATCAATCAAGTTGCGTGCTTGTTAGCGAAGCGTGGTTGCCGTAATCATGCCGGTATGGAACCTGCATTTCGCGCATGCCTTCAAAGGATTGCCTACGTGATGGACCCGTAAAGGGACACGCAGTGCAGGCAACACAACGAACAACAACAAGCAGCGCGGACAGCAACTCGCTGACTGACCGGAAGTCGTCGGCTCTTGTTCGACCGCATATCTGGCATATTTTTAAGCATGCCAGAGATGTGGCACGGCGCGTCACGCGGAGGCCCGATAGGCACGGAAAGAAGGAGAGATTGTTTCTTGGGATTTATGGTGCGCCGGCGGCTCGTAGCGCTGTCACATGCAGAATCGATGATCACGACAGCGTTCTGCACACGATGCGTACGTTTACTTGAATTACTTGAAAAAAATGTCGGAGGTGGTTTACGGGCCCTTTAAAAGTCCTTGAATTTAGTCAAAAGTTCGTTCAGCCATAATCTAGTGGATTATTTTACGTGCCTGGCAACTATGTGCTCTCTAGCCAACAAACCATCTAATTCAATCCGTTTCTCTAGGTATATATTGCAGTGTAGTAGTGCAGTGTACTTTTCTGGTACACTGTAGTTGTGGTAGGGCTTGTGTGGTTACAGCAGCAACGTCGAGCTAAGCTGGCTGGCTTTTTTGTGGAGACTGTGCAAGTGTGCGCGGATATTTGCAGTCACGTCGCTTATGGTGGAACTATGCCGGGCAAGTGCAAATTCCAGCTGTCCTGGTTATGCATTGATGCTTATAAAGAGTGGATTGCACCTAATACGTCAAACTCGCATCAGGCAAAGTTTTCCCATGTGGGAAGAGCTTCGATGTGTCATCAACGGGGAAGTCTGTCCTTGAAAGTCTCATGAAGAGTATGAAACACATTGAGAACACAAAAGTCACTACAGTCCATGGTAACTTGAGTGCATTCATGGTGCCAACCGTACAAAATAAAGTACAAATTTTTAGGCTCTAAGAAGTGACGTCATTTTTTGCAGTTTCAAATGTTATTTTAGGTTCTTGAAAAATACTTGTCAGGTCCTTGAAAGTCTTTGAAAACCCTTGAATTTTGTTTCAATTGTTTGAACCCTGATTATTAATGCCGTAGTGGGTACCTAGCAAGTGTGCTTGCAGTGGTTACCCAATGAGTGTTTAGAAAAGGCTCTGAAAGACTGCTCTTCTAGCTTTCGCTGTCACTGTGCTGCACCTTCTGCGCAGGCATGACATCTTTCCATTCGTTCGGCTCGATTTTGTTCTGTTCTGCAGCTAAATGTCATTCCTTCTATGGTTGTGACTACAAGTTGTACCAAACTTTCCATCATTACGCTTTTATAAATACTGTGGCTTTTTTAATTTGGTGTGGCTTTCCCACACCAAATTTGTGACAGAATACTGTCGAGTTGTATTTCCAGTGTAGCGTTCATGGTGCTGGCCACTTTGAATGCCAGTTGCACCTAAGAGCCCTTCACAGGTATAGTAATTAAAAAAAAGGGCTTGCAAAGTGAAGTGTTTTACGTCCAGAAGTTGAGAATGGAGATAATACTGTTTGTAGTCGCTAAAACACCAAAAACTATGTAGGACATCTGTATTAAGCCATCCTAAGCAAATTACTGTAGATGTGTTTAAAATAGTTTGATGCGAATGCATAATAAAGTGATATAACCTGACTCTTCGGTGTTTTAAAATTTTTGGTTGTATCAGACATGTTTCCTGGATTCATCTAGTGTCTTGCTTTATGGAGCATTGCTGTATCTCACCGAATAGTTTGCTTTTTTTGTCTACATGTATAAATTATGATATAGTCACTAGTGTAATTTGCTGCATTTTGTTTTGCCTGAAGTTTTCTAGTGGCTTTTAGCTGCATTAGCGATAGGTGCACGAGTAATTCAAGTAAATGTTATCACTGTCCAACCTGCTGGCTCTTATACTCTTGATAGGCTATGACTGCTTTTTTTTCGCCTGTAGGAGATACCCTGTCAGTGTTAGAATTATGGATATAATTTATAAAAAAATTATAAGAAATTAGCTGATTTATTGGTATTTGAGTTGTTTTGGCAGTATTATCATTTAAAAATTGCAAGACTGACATCTACAACTGTTGAAAGAATTGTTATGGTCTTCCTAATACACCAGATGCCTAACATACAAGAAGCATGAAGCAGAATGTAGTAAATAAGTTCCGCTAAGTGGAGGAAGAGTTGTGAAAGGGAAAATTGGCGTCTACCAGTTTGTAGCACATGGCAACAAGGAAATCCGTGAAGTTTCTGAAGGTACAACTTCTTAGTTGGCAAAAAGTTATGACTAGGGTCTGTACCTGGTGTCATCGCCTATCCAGGATGGTCACTCCAAGGCTTGAGCTGACCAGGAGGCTGGCAGTTGGCAAAGCGAAGGCGACTTAATCAAATATATATTCATCCTAAGTACACTCCATTTCATGAAATAACCAAGGCCCCAAAAAAGATTGCAGACCTTTTTTTCCAGCCATGAAGATGGCATTTATGGATGAGAATTTAGACAGTTGCTGGAGCAAATGTTTTTGTTCTCTATTGCTTTATCTTGGCAGTGTGGCTGTGCTTTGATAGCCAGGAGATGACGTCACTACTAACCCCTTTAAAACTAACACGCCAAGGATGACACGATGCCTTTGAGAAAGATAGGTTTTCCTATAGAAAAGTCGGCCAGCCTGTCTGAGGCACTTACACTGTTCACCCTGATTATCCCACTACGTTGTTTCCATCTATCCGCTCCCATCTTGATTTTTGATAGCCTAAGGAATTGAAGTGTCAGTGAATTCTGACCCAAACAAAAGCAGTAACAAGCTGTACAGTGATGTTGCACATCACCTCTTTGAATACAAGGAGAGGGGGGGGGGAGTGATTATTAAATGAAAAGAAGAGAAAAGTGAGCTCCATAACAGTCTCTCAGGGGAGGACACCTTAACTGTAGCTCACCAGGAAGGGGGGTAAGGCAGGATTAAAAGGATAGGATTAAAAGGTTTAGAGATCGAGAGAGGGAAGGAGACAGCCAGATAGGAAGTAGGAAGATAGGCAAGATGGACGCGGTGGCAGGAGTTCGAGGACGGGGCGCCACTCGGCGAGAGCTCCTGTCAGCATCGGGAGATGGCGTAGGGCGAGCTAGTCGGCCAGAGCTGCGCTGTCATCAGAGATCGCGGGGGCACAACCGGTCGGCACGAAATACAGTGAGCGAGTCCGAACACAAAGAGCACCTTAGACAGTCATATCGTATAATTCTTTTAAATACAATTGTTCACATGTATTGTAGTTCTAACTAATGGACCATCACAAACCCTAGGTATAGTATTGTGTGCATTGTTGATGTACTGATGTATCAATTATTTGTGTAAACTTGCCACTTTTGATGATAGAAAATGGCTTTGCCTGTTTCTGAAGCTTTCCGTGCAAGTTCCCCAGCAAAATGACCCTGGCTCACACCATTCAGTTTGTATGGAGCTGCTTGGTCTACTTAGTAAGAGCCTCACACAGCAGGGGGCCTTACGTCAATTGCTATACCAGGTGTGTATATGTAACTGAAGCTATCATACTAACTCTGTGTTGGGGTGTTGTATTTGTCTTTAGTACTTTAGTGTGAAATGAAGCTGATAACCAAGATCCCATAAATAAAGGAATGCTAATATCTTTCCTAGCTTCTGTACCCATCAGTGCTTTTACAGCAGAGCTCTTGTCCTATACTCTGTTTCGTGCATCATCTGCAACACTGTGGAGGCTAGCGAGAGATCTTGCAGTCGATACGTGTGCAACAAAAAATAGTTTAATGTTCTTACCACCAATAACAGAACACTTTTTTTTCTTTATTATGGTGAGAAGTGATTGCAGATGTTTTGTGCTTTACGAACAAAATGTCATTAAATATCTTAATTGTGTGGCTGGATAGCTTAGTTTCCACATGACGTCATGTACAGGCTCTTCACACTAGATACGTGTGATCGCGGCCACCTAGACTTTCAATCTTATGAGACAGTGTCAGTGCATGGGAGAACAGACAGTCATTCGGGTTCGCGCTCTTTTGTGTTCTTCCCACTTTGTTTTGTTCGCCAGTCACGCCAAGGAGGCACACAAAAAAGCGCGAGGGTGCGGTGGCACTAATCAGATGTCACGCAAGTAACTACGAGATGTGTGGAGTTACACATTTTGCTGGCTAAACTACTTGCATAGCTTCCACTGCATTGCACGTGATGTGTGAGGCATAGTATAGAGGTTTTCTATGTCATGTAGAAAGAGAGCTATCATAATTATTAGAGACACACACCTTTTTGTCCTCCTCTTCCTGATCTGCCTCCCTCTCAGAACACGTGCACCAATTTGCTCGGCGAACAATGCAAAAATTCTTTTGTGCTAGAGTATGAGTACAGAGAAAGAGGGAAAATAGAGAACAAGCGTAGCCATGTGTAATCATGGTATAGCAAGAAGTGGGAAAGAGAGACATGAGAGGTTCAAAGCCTAGCCAAAGCCAGGGCCCGCTAGGTGTCTGCCAGCTCAGCTGTGACACTGCTCTGCGCGACTTAGTGCAAGCTATGCTAATTTACTTTTTTTGTCATAAAAGAAAAAAGTGTAAACTTAAGGGCATGTTTACTTTATTAGATACAATATTAATGAGAAATAACTGACAAGGATGCCAAGAAAGGTATGGGTGATGTTATTAGAAATAATTGTGATATAAATGTGAAGAAAGAAAAACGGATATAAAGATAACTTGCTGCCGACAGGGACCGAATCTGCGACCTTCGAATAATGCGTCTGATGCTCTACCACTGAGCTATGGTGGCAGTCATCCCTCTTTTTTGTTATAGTGGTGTAGCAGTCTTTAGTGGTTCCTGCTGGTCTGCTCTGCCAAAATTTGTAAAGCTGTTGTGTTTGTATTATCAACACAAAGGCAGTTATTTAGGATAGCAGGGAGCACAGAAAATTTTCGACGGAATCGAGATTTGAAATAACAAGAGTTTATAAATCAAGGTTTTGCTCTATGTTATGTGAAAGAGCATGTGTATTTTCCTTGAGTGCTCATGTTCACGTAAGACATTCCACTTTCAGGGGTTTCCTGAAGTCATAGATCAAAACATCAACCTGACTGAAGCTGTCTTGGAGTTGCTTGTCTTACAAGTAAGAGGATCACTTCAGCTATTGGATTTTTCAGTTTCCTTGAAGGGGCTCTGCAATATTTCTTGAGAGCAGGATCAGAAAACACTGCCGGTTGGTAGTCGAGACTCTCGAAAACACGCGAGCGAACTACTATAGTGTGGCATGCGGCCTGGAATTCACCATGAATTCTGTAAGTCCGCTAAAAAATGCTTTCTCTTCTCACGGCAAATGATGCCAAATGATGCTATATACTAAAAAATCATTGCGTCACAGGGCCAAATATTACGCCCTTGACTGATTTGAGCATGGCATACTCGGGAGTTACTGGGGCCACCATGGTAGGCTGCAGCATGTTCGTGTGTCCACGTTCGAAAAAGAAAAAAATGTGACAGAAAGAAAAGTGCTCAAGATCATGGGGCACAGATGAGACCTTCCTCCTTTGTGCTATCCCTCCCTTCTTAGCTCCCAGTGCATTTGTCAGGACGGGAGAAGAGAGAAAGCATTTGCAGCGTGTGACAAATCGTTGTAACTCTGCTTGTACTGGACGGATTCTAAAAATATTTGCGGCGGTCATTTCGTGAGGCAATAAACTGCTGTAGTGAATCCAATCTATGGCTACTTAGAAATTTGTTTCAGGGCTCTTTTAAGATATTCATTTACGTTAGCAAAATGCATGTTGGTGGTCGCATGAAAATGTAAAGAGCCTTTGTTCAATGAGCCATGTCCAGAAATTAAAACTGGGCTAAGTTTCATGGTAATGCAAAGCACAGCTGTGCTTACATCATTTTAGAAACATTTATATTTAATATTGTTCAATTAAAAATTGAAATTTACCTGAAAAAATTATTGTCAAATACGAAGTGAGTAAAATCCTGGACCTGCTTAGATGGAAGTTAGCCAGATGTACTTATAACCAACAGGTGTGCTCAGTGAACACGTAGTGACAAAAAAAAACAACACAGCCACCTCAAGTATGTGTCATGTCTCACCAGTTATCTTTGTAATGGGTGTTTGCTTCAAGGTGTTGCATTTAAATGACAATCACACATATTAAGAAGTTGAAGTATGTTTAAAGAAGAAATGATAATCTACATTGTATAAACCCAGAATAAACGTTAAACCTGCCAAATGCAAAACTGAGAAAGGAACTTATAATGTGCTCTTGGGACTGCAAGATGAGAACATTGTTGATTCCATGTAACTGCCTACTTTAGTATCTGCTCAGTTTGTGGAAAATTAATTACTATATGTGTAAGGTATTCCCACACCGACTCTTATTGTTTGCGCTCTTTGCTGCTATGGGTGAACTAAAGAATTGTGTACTTTTTGAAGCGTTTTGAGTCAAGTATGTTAAGGAGGAGGGAACCTTATTTTTCCAAAGGCATAACGTTCCTATTAAAACTACAATCCACCTTATGTGCTCATGACTTGCTGAAAGAATGTTTGAGGCTTTGTTGTTAGAGAAACAACTACTCAGTTAACGGATTTAGTCATTTATGACACTGTGTATGATTACCAAATCATGATAGTTTAAAAACAGGTCTCAGACATGCAACCCGTAGGACCTCTCGCTTGTGGCCTGTGGCTCGCACTTGGCTATGTTTGTCCCATATTTTTAGTTTTCATAAGTACATTTGTGAGCTACCCAAACATGACTGGCCCAAAGCATTTTTTTCGTTAGGCGTCTATGTAGTCGCAATGTGTCGAAGCGTGACAGTGAAGCAGAAAACAGTATTTCAGAATTGGCATCCAGATTTTAGTCATTTTGGAGGTCGGTACTGCCATGTTAGATGGAATTCTGGCACCAAATCTTATTCAGAAATGACCCATATATGAGATGCAGAGAAGGTTTTCTTTTCAGTTGGAGTGTTTACTGACACGGTGTACGAACTAACCTCCTGCTCCTTTCCCTCCCCACTCTTATTACACTTTTCCCTGACGAGGCTCTTATGGGACTAACTTCTGCGACTGCAGCCCACTACCTGAAACGAGTTTGAGACTACTGGGCTGGAAGAATCAATGTATTATTTAGAAAGTGTACACTTGGTAGGAGAGAGCTTATTATGAGGCATTCTTTAGACTGAAGCCAACGTGAGCATGGAACTATTGACTAGATGCTTTTCTGGTGGCCATAAAACAATTGCTTTCTTTGGCCCTCTAAAATTCAGTACAGCCTGCTCCCTCAATCTTTCTTACTCTGTTCTTGTGGGTTGTCTTGCTGATTCATGCCACTGACTTTCTTTTTTCTTCTTTTAACTTTTCCAGCTTCAGAAGTATTATGATGGAGATGACAATTCATATCCTCCATTGAAATTATCTGGAGTTGTCCAAATCAATATGGACAAGGCAGTTTTGCAAGAACCTCTGGTTTGTTTGTTTTCTGACATTATTCAGTTCCAGAAGGTCACAAGTTTGAAGTGTTGTTTGTTTCATTTATAATGAATAACACAGAATTTGCTTCCCAAAACTTTGATAATTTCATGCTCTTTGTTGAAGTGGCAGCCGCCATACAGCCAAGCGACAAATTAGTCTTGGCAAAAAACAAGGTGGCAACTCAGTAAGAATTATTTGCGTTTAGAATTCACAATAAGTATGAACTCTGGAGCTGTGTTAGGTAGTGCTTCATTTTGGAAGGTTTTTAAAGACGATAGTCTTTCTTGGGGACTTTCGACGCAAAAATTTTGGTCTGTCTGTCTGTCTGTACATTTGTCTGTCTGTCCACTCTTAACAGCATCGGGTATTTGAAACGGTCGACCCCATCCGCAGCGCCCACCTATGTTGCTCAATATTCAGTGTTCATACTTGTGCAATTGTCGATTAAAAAGCAATTATTGCACGTGTCTGGGGCACCATAACAACACGTATATATTCTGCATGTGTGCCTTTTACTAGAAAAGGCATACATAAGTAGTTTTAAGGACCGTAGCGCTTATCACGCTGCGCTGACCATTCAACGCTTGCACGGAAAGGCGAGTGTCTCCAACGTTTTGCTAAAACGAGACGGTGGTGGCACCCACCCATCGCCTTGTGTTCTACACTTTATCACCTTTTAGGCGGGCGTGCACACCCATCTCAGAGCCATGCTCTTTGTTTTTGAAAAAAACTGCCAGATGGCGGTCATGTCTCACGTGTGACGTGACTTGATGCGCTCGTTCGCTTCCGCTGCACGCTCGAGACACTCTAGCGCAGCGCCTCCAGAATACCATTCACCGATTTTCTTAAGCAGAATATCAAATAAAAGTTTTGTTCACTCTCTCCACACGCAAGACTATCGTCTTTCGACGACATTTGCAGATTAAATGCAGATACAGGGCCAATTTTTTTTTTCTCTCTCTTTCTCGTAGTTCTTGGTTGCACGTATACTACCGTCAGCACTTGAAGCTCGTATCTACTATCATGTGCTAATTATAATTACTTTAGAGGGTGAACACTCTATCACTATTGCCTTTGCATACTGGTTATAACTCATGTCATCACTGATGAAATGCAGTATGAACTGGTGTTGTGTGGTTAATAATGACATTATCTTGAATGGCGGGTAATCTGAGCATTCCTGGAAGCTTTCACTGGTGTCATTGACCTAAATGTAATGTTGCGGCGCTCAGTGGTGAACTGCTATGTAGATGACTTTCTAATTAATATTAATGCAAATAGCTCAGTAAAGTCGAAGAAAGAAAATAAAGCAGTTGCAATGCCGTTTTACTTTGATGATTGTTGCCTGATTTGCTTTCATTGCGGTAGAGGTTTTCATCCTTCACCCGGCCAAATGCCACTCTTTGTGATGGTATAAAGGTCAGCGCAAGGTCAGGGATTTTGAGTCAGCTTAGTCTACAGTTTGTGATTATGATGGATCATATTAGTATAATTCGTTGTATAATATTTTTGTATTGTATTTAATTTGCTGTGACCTCAATAATATTAAATACAGTAGAAAAATATTACAAAGCAACTTATACTAATTTTCAGTGCTCGTCGAGAAAATCGGAACTTTTTCTGTACAGGCCGAAATGCAGGAGCCCCAAACCTAGAAGGTGGAAGCCATTAGAGTACGTGGGCATCTCTATTGTCTATTGTATTTAATTTTCTGTGACCTCGATAGAATTAAATACAATAGAGAAATATTGCAAAGCAAATCATACGAATGTACGGTGCTCGTCGAGGAAATCAGAACTACTTCTGTACTAGCCCAATCGCAGGAGCCCGAAACCAAAAGGGTGGAAGCTATTAGAGGACGTCGGCATCACTCTTAGGACATGTGGGGGCAGCTTGATCCCCAGGGTGCACTGCTTCGGGTTCTGGTTATGACCATACAATCGAACGGCTCCAATATCGTTGACGGTAGCGAGACTTGCCAGAAAAAGTGACAATGCCATCAGACTGATAACAAAGGTTGCCAACAGACAACAGGGACGTGGGAGAAGGCAACCTCGTAAGGCTGGTACACGCCTTTGTGATGCAGGGGTAGAACAGCTGTGCCAATTGTGCCAATTTGATAAAATTCCTTATTGTTGTGCCTAGCTGCAACAAAACCATGAAATTTGCTGAAATCGTGCCACTTTGCGCCAAAATACCCGACCCACCTCAAAATTATTTCAGGTGTGCTAATTTCAGCAAGAAATGGATGCCACATTGGCCACCTGCACTTTGCTTCATCAATCAAACCAAGCACGCAGACCCGTTTTCTGACTAGGAAATTCACATGGCCTAGTCAGCAAACGTGGTTATGGCATGTTAGGAACGTATGCCACGTGCAAAGAAAGTCGGCATGCGGCCTTCATTGCCAGCCACCACGTTGGTTGCCATAGTAACAGCACATTAAACATTTTTCTGGCTTAAGATTGTGTCGTTGAGGCGCCATTGTTACTTTATTTGGTTGAATGTGCCATGCAAGCGTGCCAAGAAGTGGTGCCCTAAGCTTAGCCCCACCGCAAAAGAACATGAAAAGAGTTGGGGCCAAGTGGGGGGGTAGCGTTTCGAAAATTTCTTGACCTTGTTCTAACACGCTGTGGCGAAGCCATCATCGCCGTAGTACACCGGTGTCTTGCGGAAAAGTGTATTAGAATTTGGAAGGGGCTGTTAGCGTTAGTCATGGGACACAGCACATTTAGTTCAATTAGTCGTGCATGTATGCACTGCATAATTGTGGATACTATGTAGTCTTATGGCTGACATCTAAAAAAGTTACTGGTAATCATTCGGAGCAGCAAATTACATTTCTGCTGGCTTAAAAAAAAAAACACACACACACACACTTATGTGTCATTTCTTTGTTTTTTTTTTTCGCCGCCCCTTCTGCTCGATGTTACTAATCTCCCAAATTTCAACGTCGCCAGCTTGGCAAATCAATATTTGATTTTGCAGAGTCTGTCAAAGTATTCGACAGGCACGGCAAATGCTAACGTGGACTTCATTGTTTGCTTAGTGGGCAAATTCAGAATACTGCTTTAATTGGAATATGAATGCTCATGTTCACTCTGCACGATTTAGCTGGGTTAAACGTTTTGTGTGTGTATTCTAAATGTAAGCCTTCTTTTTTATACTTCTCCAAATTTGGTTGTTCATGATAAAAATTTTTTTTTTTTTTTCGGCTCTAAATATAAAGTTAAGTGCTCCAAAAGTAACATTTCGCTGCTCCAAATTTTATTTTGGCTGTGATACCCCTGGTGATCTGTCATTTCACCTACGTGACAGCCACGCACAACTGGCAGAGTTCGGAACGTGATAAGCTCAATACGTTAATCAGAAAGGCCGTCAAGAGAGCTCTTGGGCTCCTCATGTACACAAGCTCAGACAGACTGCTTCGTCTCTGCATGCATAATACGCTGGAAGAAATTTGCAGAGGCTCAGGAGAGGGCACAATTCACTAGGCTATCCACCATGCGTTTCGGTAGAAACATCCTGTGGGAGCTGGGGATTGCACCGATGGAAATCAAGTCTTACTTCTGCAGCATTCTTCATCAACAGCGAGAACAAATAATTGCTGTTCCCATCCCATGAGATGTCCACCCCGACCATAACTAGGGTAGAAGGCGGGCCAAGGCAAAGGCTATACTACAAAGGGCCCAGGAACACACTGGGTACTGTTGCTTCGTCGATGCGGCCCAGTATCCTGAGGGGAAGTCATATGCGGCAGTGAGCATCACCCATGAGGGCATTATCACAAACTCCTCAACTGTCCGGGCAACGGTGGTTGAAATAGCAGAGCAAGCGGCGATTGCGTTGGCTTTGCTGGATAACAAAAGCTCCACAGTTTACAGCAACTCGAGATCACCGATCAGAGCATTTGCCAAGGGCACAATATCAGAACCGGCTTTGCGGAACTTTAAGGACAAGGAGATCAAGCCACATACACTCGATTGGTTCCCAGCTCACATTGGATTCATTCAGGGAGCCCCGCCTAATCTCAACAAGTCAGCCCGCATAGCTGCGTGTGGACTAGTAAACGATGTAGCTATCAGGAGACGTGGCACTGATGTTTTAGAGAACCAGGACGCTCCCATCTCGTATAACGAACTGACAAAAACATTTTTACCAGCACAGAAACAATACCCACCACCACACAGATAACTAAGCACACCTCAAGCTCTGACACTCGGGCTTCTTCAAATCGAGGCGTACCCTAACCCCCCCGCTATTGCACAACATTTGTCCTGAAATACAGTCAGCTAATATGTGTTCCTTCTGCAATGATATACCTAATTTAGAACACATGCTCTGGTGGTGCCCCACGTTTCACTGTGGTGAAAGCACCACACCTTCGAAATGGGAGGGTGTTATTACCAGCTCTGGACTCAAACAACAGTTATGAATAGAGAGACCTTTTTTACAGTGAAAGCTGTTATGAAATCAAAATTCTGGTCACGCGCTGCCATAGTTGTGCGTAGCCACCACCGATGTCCGCAATCACAATGCACGAAATTTTAAAAAAAAACTTAGTATCAATGACACAGTGAGGCTCGAACCCTGGTTCGCTTGGTGCCAGCCCAGTATTCTACCACTGAGCCACACCGGTGCTTGCGACTTGTTGGCAAACTTGCCTTAGGCAGGCTTTGTGTCGGGAAAGCAATCGTGTCAATACGATTTTAAAGGCGTTTTAAAACAGCAAAAGAAGAACCTGTTGCCGCTCAATGAGAATAGCATAACGAGTGGATTGTCCAATGCTGCAACTTATTACAAAAGCTTGTTCTTGTTCACCCATTAACGGTGGCGCATACCCACGTCATGCACAATTTCTCGTCATGAGCCACTGCATAAACAATTGGCACATAATTCCTTCCAAGTATTTAGCGGATACCACGCTTCTCAGAAGAATGATGAAGAATAGCATAGCGAATGCCAGCCTACTACACAAAAAAGGTTTTATTGTTAATGTCGCAGTGGGTATCAAGCAAGTGTGCTCTCAGCAGTTATCAAATGAGTGCTTAGAAAATGGTCTGAAAGGCTGCTCTTCTAGCTTTCGCTGTGACTGTGCTGCCCCCTCTGCGCAGGCCTGGCGTTCTTCTGTTCCAATGTGGGAGCGGCCCGCAATGTGCTAAAGCGCATTCCGAAGGGCCTAATAAAGTTGATTCATTCGTTGTATTTAATACCTGGTTTTATGAATAGTTAAGTGCTTTTATTATTATTATTTATTTACTTGTTTATTTATTTTTAAGAAATGATGGTAAAATAAAGGTCATCTCTGGAGTAAACATATTACTAAGGGGACTTGCCTTCTTGTACTGGTGTACGAATGTAAGGAAATTGTCTAAAGGGCTCTCTTTTTGTATTCAGTACACAACTAATGAATACGAGAGGTGGTTAAGGCAAGGAAGGCAGGGGGGACATTATTTGTGGTGTCTTAGCTGTATTACAATGATTCTCACTTTTACTGAAAGAAATTAAAGTGAGAATCACTACAGCACAGTTAAGAAACCACAAATAATGTCATCCATGCCTTCCTTGACTTAACTGTTTGTTGGCTTCATTAGTTGTGCGTAACTTCATGTATTGAGAAAGATGAGTCTCTTTATTGAAGCATTAACTCCAGAAATATCTCTTCTTCTTTAAGTCCATCACTCCAAGCCTTCTCTTTCATGAACTTCTCTCTAAAAGGCCATTATTCTTACATAAAGTAAGAATAATGGCCTTGTAATCAATTTAATGTTATTTAATATAAAAGTACATAACATATGAGTGGCTGGTTAGTGTAAGCTATATATTACTACCACATGTAGTGTGATTGTAAGTCGATTGCAAGCTGTGCGGCTACTGGTATTACTGCTACAACTTACCAACTTAGCAGCTTAGTTCTGTGGAAGCCCACCAGGAAAGGGAAATAAATTGTCATCCACTTGTTAGTTGTATGAAGCTGCTAGGAAATTCATACAGATTTCTTGGCAAGAACGCTTCCCAGTTGAGCAAAAGTTTGTCCTTGTTCAGGATTTCATCAGTTGGGAAGCATTTTTAAAAAAAAAAAATTTTATGTGCTACAAGGCAGTTGCCAACGGCTGCCTTTTATACTTGCTAATTGAAGTACGTTTCAATGCATTACTGGTTCTGTTAATCCTACATTGGAATGACATGAAATCACTTTGATTTAATAAAAACTAATTGTAAAGTGTGCCTTTGGAGCTTCAAGTGCTGTCAAATCAAAATGATAACAAAATTTGGGAAATAATTAATTTTTTTAAATTAGCTTTTTTTTTTTTTTTTTTCAATACACTCATGCTACAGTTCTTTCACTTTCAGAGCCAGCTCGTCCTTGGTGCCCACCGATGCCTCATGATTGCAAAGAAACATTCTCAAGGTTCCACTGATGATGGACAAGAAAGTGGTGTTCAACAGACTCTCCAGAAACTTCTGGGGAACTTAACAAAGGTCATGGTGGATGCTGAATTGGAGGCTTTTTCATTGGTACTGCATCTTGAAATGCCTCGGCACATAAAAGCTTCTCTGTGTTTTTTTGCGTTATGTGGAACCTGCTTAACTGTAGGGCATTGAATTCTGATTGCAGGACAAGATGTCTGACTTTAGCATGAGTAGTGTTGGTCAGAAGAATAGACTCATTGCAACAGAGCTAAGAAATATTTGCGAAGCACTTATTGAGCACACTCTGTCATGTGGGAGTTGGAGGTAAGTGTGAAAGATAAACATGAAGTTTATTTGAATGCTTCTTACCTTTGGGACTTGTTTACAGTGCCAGCAGTGCACAAGTCTCCCTCAAGCTTTTTGAGCAGCTGAATGACATTGAGCAACTGCTTCAAAATGGTTCCAACAAAAAAAAGGACAGTAAGGCCAGTGCTTCAAGCAAGAGAAAGGATGCCAAAGCAAAAGCAGCACCACGAAAAGGTTTACCTTCACTTCTTAGCACAAGGTTCCTAGGGAAGTTCTTGGAGAACCTTTTCTGGTGGGTAGCAGAATATGTATACATATTTTTTGCTTTAGCTGTTTTTACACTCATTCCACACCTGTGCTTATTCCCTGCAGCTCTTCATCTGAATACAGTGGTCTCTCAGAACTGTCAGAAAATTCGAGCTTCATGCAACACATTGTAAGCGCGGCACGGCATGAACTTGTGAAAGTCCAGGAACCGGGGACTTTTGAAGCACTTTACAATGAACGCCTCCTCCAGTCACACTTCAAAATTTCTAGGTGAGTGTATGGAAGTGTTGGTAGTTGCAATGCATTCTTGGATCATCAACCGGGTAATTGCGCTGGCGTCGTTGTATTAGCAATTGCATTATAATTTACTCTGTATTGTATGCTTTAACGTCCTATAGTTGCAGCTTATTTAGTTCACCGCAAAAGTTCTGCAGCTTATGTTCAATTTATGTTTTTATATACTATGTAGCTATTAACCTTTTCAGGTGCATTGTACATGTTTGTGTAACCAATTTATTCGTGATATTTTAATTGACTAGTGGAAAACAGTAATTTACATTGAGCATAGGATGAATTGAACCTCCTGCATAATTACTGTCTTGATAATAAACAGCACAAAGGGGAGAAAAATAGTGGGAAGAAAAGTGGACATACTGGGAAAGTGTGTGCATGATTTTCATCCTCTCTTTTTTTTTTCACGCTGTTTATTGTCAACATAACTAAAAATTCTATCCGCTTTTATTTCACCTTTTTTGTGCTGTTAATTATTGGTGTGAATAACCATTTCAGCCAGCTTCCATACTAATCATTGTGTCCTCATTTAAGTTTATTTTGCCTTGTATGGCTAGATATGATCACATTGCCTAAGAATATACCATGTTTGACGGGCTGCTTTCCCAAGGCCATGTTAGAAGTACCATTTTTTTTTTTGTTAAGAAAATTTATCAAGTATTTTAACCCTTTAATGCTTGAATTATGAAACAACCGAGCAAAGTAAAAATTTTATTTATTTTCCAGCTTTAAATAGCAATCTTTAAATGATACCACAGTTATCTAAAATGCAATCTAATGCACACTTTTGTGTATGTAGCGAATTTTCCATATGCAGCGAATTTTCCATATGCCACAGAAGCGAGGACCTTGCAACAAAAAACATACTTCAGAATTACGTAACATATATACCTGTCGAGTGTGTACGCATAAAATTAATACAATTATTAAAGATAGAATTTACATCACCAAGGCGAGAAAATACGAAGTGATAGCTGTATAACGGGCTTTGCACTCTCCACCATCAGCTCTAAAACAATTAGTTCTATCTTAAAATATTCTAGACTAGATACCGCAAAATTTTTCATACTGATAGCTACATGCCGCGTGAGTACTTCACAGCCGGCATTACTTGCTCAAAATTTTTCAGTATGTTGCGAATTCGCAACATCTAGTAGTAAAGGGTTAAGCATGTGATGTGATTCTCTATATGCAAAAAAAAAAAAAAAGACAACATCACTGACCTCAACGTAAAAAGGTATTTCATTACACTAAGATTAAGATTATTCGCTGGAAAATGCACAAATCAGTGTATTGTCACTTTTTTGTATGTGTATGTGCAATAGGGTACCGCTTATCTTGGAATAATATCATGTCAATTTTGCACATTTACAGACAGTGCATTCAGTTGAACTGACTATTTTGTTGGCACACATCTTTTGTCTGGTTTTTCCGAAATCAACAAAAGGTAGTGCAGTAGCTTAGTGCTTATAATATTGTGCTGCTTGGCTGAAGATTGCTGGTTTGATCTCTGGTTTTATCCAAGTTGGATCCAGCAAACTCCAAATCTTAACAATGATCCACTCAGACTTGGTTGTGCTACATTTTGAAGGGATCACAAAATCACAACCTCTACACGTAGTGGTAATTCATTATCTGAGTCTCTTTGGTTTGTTTGTCTGTTTGTTTATTTATTTTGTAAGCCAAAGGCTCATACAAAAGTGGGCATACAAACAGTCCTGCCAAAACATCCATTGCAAAAGACAAAGTACAAAAGACAGACTGTGTCTGTAAAGAAAGAAAGAAAGAAAAACGAAACAAGATCGAGATCCACATTGGGCACCTTATAAAAAAGCACCTAATAGTACAAAATTTACAAATAAACCACAGAGCGAGATCACTCACGGGCACATATACACTCAATAACCCATGTCATTGTAACACTTAATAGCATGTTCATGTAAATGAATATGCATTAAAAAAGAAAAAAAAAGAAAAGGCTGCAGGTAAAGGTAAAGAAAACGCATCTACGGCACATGTGGAAAGTTGTAATGGCATACTACGTATTCATGTTTATGATAACGACTCAAGCGAGTGCTGATACAAAAGTGGCCGCAAATTGTAAGCAAACAATATCTGATGGAAGCGGATTCTATAGCTCTACTGTTGAAGGGAAAAAAAGGAGTTCTTTAGTGTGTTGCAGCGGCAAAAAGTATGGATAGTGTGCTTTCATTGCTATTTCTATGCTTCTAATTTTACTGCTGTTTGTGTGCTTTATAAATATAGCAGTAAATGAGCCTCATTTCTACATGACTATATTGCAGCAAAGCACATTAAAGAAAATTCAATGTAATCTAGAGAAATAAGCAGGCATGTTAAAGAACACCAGTTGGTCTAAATTGCTGGAGCCCTCCACTATGGCATCTCTCATAACGAAATGGTGGTTTTGGGACATGAAACGCCTGAAATTACTATTATTATGGAGAGAAATAAGGCTTTTAATTTATATTTTAATATTCAGAACCTTGCCTCAAAGCAAAACTTTCGTGTCATGCGATTCCCTTTTGATTTATTGCCTTGTGTGGGAGCATATGCAGCAACACTGAGGTTTAAACGGCATGAATACTGTATTTACTCGAATGTAACGCAAGTTTTTGCCAGATTTCTGTGACCTGATGCAAACCCTCACACTATAATTGAATACTGAAATTGTTGGTGAGAAAGTGAAATGATGCGAACAGTTATTTTATTTTTCTTTTCCTTTTTTTTTTTTTTTTTGGACACAATGAAAAGTCTCATCTCTCATCACAATTTCGGTCTCATTACATTTGAGTAAATATGGTATTTCCAGTTACACGAGAAGTGATTGTGGTCCTGTTTGAAGAAGTTCAGTTGCAGAGGTGCAGTGTGTGTATGGGTTTAAATTTTGAGCCGTACTCTCAAAACGCACGAACACAGTTCACACCGTGACCAACCAGTGGGTCACGGCGCACCTGCAAAATATGCCGCATGGTCCATCGGTGGGTCACGGCACATGTCAAATGAGACCTCAAGAAAACGTGCCATAGTGAACGTACTGCTAACTTAGCCTAGTTTTTTTAGATCACTTCCCGTTTCAAATGTCCCTAGGCCTAACTAGAAGATTGGTCTAAACAAGTCTGCAGCATAAAATTAGCGCTTTGGGTGCGGGGTTCATATTTATTGACTTTTATTGTTGCTAAAAAAAAGTAGTCATATTGCTGCACGCGACGATACAGGCAATAATGGTCTCATATTTTTTTTCCTCTTTTTAACGCATTCACCCTCTGCTAGGTAACGCCAGCATCCAAGCTCGTTCACGTAAATGCTATTCTGCTAAACGAATGATCCGTCTGCAATGAATGTTTGCAGCACAGTAACACTATTCTTTTGAACCCCTCTATCACGCTAATGCTAAACTGACTGTCTATTGTCTCACAAATCAACTGCCACAAAAAGTTTTAGAATCTGTTAAATACGAGCGAAGTTACAGGGATTCGCTCCACACTTTAAGTGCTTCCCCTCTCCTTTTGTACCAGCAAGCATGCTGAAAGCTACGCAGGGAAGGGGATGACTAGGGGGCAAGAAAGTGCTTTCCTTTGTCAGTGCATGTCATGACATTGATCACTTTCTTTTCATTATTTCTTTGAGTGCGTGGCTTACCTTCACTTAGATTGCACATGCATGTGCGGGCACGTGGCAGCTTTTTGTGGTAGCCTCATTAACTATGGAGCTCATGACGCTCAGATCAGTCGACGGCCGTGGACTTTGAGTATGTACACTCAAACCTCATTATAATAAAATCACATCTGCTCTCAGAATAACTTCGTTATGTATGAAAGTTTGTTATAAACATTTATCTGTAACAATGTGTCTGTGGTAATACTATTCTTCATTTGCTTCCTTATAACCGATAATTCGTTATATCCGTGTTCATTATATCAATGTTTGAGTGTACCGTCATTCATAGACACAGGGTATCTGCCAACGTGGAAAGTCGGGGAATTTAGACACGTTTGAAAAAGTTGGGGAATAGTCATGGAATTTCTGAAAAACCTGGCCAGTTCATTGAAATGGACAGCAGTCTATGTAACTACCGAGAAATAATTTTTATCTTTAGCCAGAGCTTATGTCGCTCCTTCGGCTGCAGCCGCAGTGAACACCTGAGCAAAGGCATAGAAAGAAAGGCAGTGCATTACTGTTGCTTCTACAGATTATATAGCATATCTCAATTCCCAAGCACAAAGTTACTCATGCCAATAAATTTGTGCATGTTTGTCTTGGCCATGATCTAGGCTCGGCTTGAAGACATTCTGATTAGGCTAAAAGTACCATCAGTAGAGGCTGCCATCATGTCTGTTACGTAAACAAGCATGGTTTGAAGTGTTGACATTAAATGGAAAGAAAGCCTGGAGAGAAAAAAAGAAGGATTGGTAGCATTTATCAGGTGTTGAAAGAAGGAAGAGAGCTGTGGCTCTTGTGAAAGAGCTTGGATCACAAGAAACAAAAGCTGATCAAGGACATTAAGGTCTCTATGCTGCAGCAAGTGATTGAATCTTTGAAATACTAATAGCATTGGCGATGAAGATTGACCAGCTTTTCTATTTGTTGATGCACATTTGTTGTATTTCAGTGCTTTCAGGATTGTAAAGGATGCTTTAAGCTGAGGGAATTCAATGAAGTGGCATGGTTTGCAGTTTATGCGAGTGCTCCATCCTCTCTCTCTCTTTTTTTTTATCACTTGATGGTTCGTTTCTAGTGGGCAGAGTTTTCCAAGTGGACTTGTCTGTCATGGAAATCGCTTATAATCGTCCAGGAAAACCTAGCAAAGTCAGGAAATTTGAAAAAATTAAGTTGGTAGACACCCTGAGAAAGAAGAGGGAGTGATTTCCGACTGACTTTAAAAATTAATGGTAAATTCCAGGCCGCGTGTGGTTATAGAGTGTTAAGCTCGTGTGTTCTCAGTAGCCTTGACTACCAATCGGTAGCGTTTTCTGACCATGCCGACAAAGTTTTCCAAAGCCCCTTAGTGGAAGGAAGTGAGCAACACTAGTGTTTCATGCTAAATTCTTTTCTTGGACCTCATTCTATTGATTGCTTCACCTCATTGCCAATCAGTCTTTTTTTCTCCAATTTTATATCTTGTCTTCCCTTGTAAGGACTCCATGTGTAAACCTTCCCCACAATTTTCCCTTTTTTTCTTGTTTCTTTTTACTCAAGAGGTGTGGGAAGGTGGAGCTCATTTTACTGGTGACATTGTTTGTTAGCAAAGTACTTGGAAAGTAAACAATGAAAACTTAACATCAGCCCGTATTACTAAGTCCTAGCAAGGCTTGATATAGACAATGGAGGTTTTGTGTGTTGGGGGCAGTGAAGCAATCTGTGGTGTTTTGCAAACATTGCTATAAAGTAAAGAAGTGCTTTTTGAAATTCCTAATTCTCAAGTCCTCCTAATTCCAGGGTTTTTCTTGAGGTGTGCAAGCAGAAGTCCAAAGAGTCAGACAGCGATATTACTGCCATCTGCATTGAGAGTCTTGGGAGCTTGGTTTCCAGTGTGACGAAACATCATTTTGATCACCTGCCTCTCCTGCTCGCGACATTAGGTATGACTGCCAGTTTTCTGCAAAACAAAATGTTGACGTGCTCCTTCATTAGGCTTAATCATTTTCAAACCCTGATACACACTTTTTGATATATCGAAGGACAAATCAACTTCACCCCACAAATTCTTATGGTCATTGTCACATGACATGCTTTACTCGTGTTGCAGTGCACAAAGGATGCAAAAGTAGTGTTACTGCTCACTTTTGAATGAATACCTTTCCTAAAGCTTTAGCAGTACATGAAATTGACACAGTTTCAAGTGCGTAAAAACTACACATTAAAGTACTTTTTCCTTGTACTCTAGTCCTCTTCTCAACTTTTTTATCTTTAAATTCAAGTGTTTTTATTTTTCTAAAAGATTCCTAAGTTTGACCTATAATAAAAGTAATGTGTAGTGGGAAAACAGATCACCTGATGCACTGCATATTTTCACTTCAACTTTTCAATTCTCGAAGTATTCATCTGTTCTCATTATATAAACCCAGTGCAGTGTTTGTCATGAGCTGGGGATGTGAGGGCCTTAAATAACGCTATAGGTTCTGCCCTCTGAACATAAATTTTGTTGTGTGGCAGCAAAAACCATTGCTGCTTCTGGAAGGAGCAAAGTTCAGTGATTCAACAATGGTTTACAACAAATGTTATATGGCCCTCTGGCATTGTATAGCACACAGAGTTTGAGACTTCAAAAAAAGAAGCGACTAAAAGTGAAAGATGGGCTAGTTGGTCGTTCATGCTTGGATGTAAAATGGCGCCAATATACAGACAAAGACGGAAGAAACGACGACAAGGCGCTGAACTCGCAACTAAATTTTTTTAAAGGGTACATACATATATATCGGGCAGAAAACTTAGTCACAAGGCACACCATGGCGACTGTGCAGGAGAGCAAACAGGGTGCAAAGAAGAATCTAATGATAAGGAAAATCGACACATTCTCACAAGACCGGCTCGTTCTGTCGGGAAAAGATAGATCTGTTGAATGTAAGTCATGTCTTGTGTATGTGCTGCCTTTGTCATGCAGGAGGGTTTATAAAAGATAAACAGGGCGGTGCGTTAATGTTGGACTAAGGGAGCACTTAGCCTCTTTGACGACTTCTGGTGGTCTGCACTTGCCAGCTCATTGTAGGGAGTGTGACTCCCAGCGGTTGGTGGACAAAAGCACTTGTTTGTTTGGCCGTCGGGACAAATATACTGGAGAGGTAGTAGAAGCTTTTTACATTGAAAAGGAAGGAGAACGGTGCATGAGCACACCGTCTGTGGCACTTGGTGAAAAGGAGGTTGGATACCTGGGTTTAGCGCTGTCAGGTGATTGTTAGTATTTTTTGACTGTCACGCATCTTTTTGCAAGTAGGTATGATCGCCTTTTTTTTTTTTTCTTGGGTATTTACATATGTATCGATTTTCTTTGTGATTAGATTCTTCTTTGTACCCTGTTTGCTCTGCTGCACAGTTGCCATGGTGTTCCATGTGACAAGTTTTCTGCCCGATATATGTGGGTGTTCCCTTTAATGAAATTTAGTCGCGATTTCAGTGCCTTGTCGTCGTTTCTTCCATCTTTGTCTGTATATTTGCACTGTTTTCAGGAAAGAAAAAAAAAAAGAACCGAAAGAGAAAAAATGATCACATTCAAAAAGTAATCTTTCTTGGGGTGATACTATATCAGTCATGTGAACATCTTGCAAGAAGTATCATTTTGTTGTACTTACAAAAGCATGCCTATTACCAAATTTATGTTGACATTGTATGTTAGCATATCTATTTTACTGTATCAGTAAATAAGTTTTTTTTTTTTTTGTATAGTTGACATGATTAGGAAAATAACTAGCACCGCCTATATCACGATATTCTTCTGTAAATGGCATTTCCTTCTGTGTACAGGGAAGAATCCACAAACTTTTTGTAGTTGTGAATCATACAAATATATTTATATCTCCTTCCTTTTATGTCTGTGACTGGTCAATTTAGCATCTAGCACAAATTTCGCTGTTGCATTTTCATGTGTCAGCTTTGTGTGCTCTGTGGTCTAGAGCTCTTCACTAAGTGTAGAAGGGATGAAAATGTTCTCATGATAGTTTTACGTAGGCAGTCTACAAAGAAAGCATACATTAGCGCCGACTCTCAACCAAAGTTTTAATAGAAGCGTAGCAACATATATAAAGTACGAATTATCGCTGTGACGAATAAATTGTTCCTGCAAACAGAGAAGACCCTTTAGTTTTAATTAACTTTACACATGTACAGACGGGTCCACTGTTAAAGGGAACAACGGCATGCTCAGGATGTTTGAATTTGACCCTCTTTCAGAAGTACACTCGCTTATATTTCAACAAAATTGCTGGTGGTTGACAGTTCTGACTCATCTCAACAGACTAGTGACATGCATTAAAAAGTATTTCCTTATACACTGGCTGTTAGAGGGCCAGCAATATGGACAGTGTTCATTTGAGTGTTCCTTTTAACAGTGGGCCGTATTGTACATACGATCAGATGTGCATAATCATTGTGTGCCTCCTTTGTGTACTTTCTGCATAAAAGATGGGATGTTTATTCTCATCACATACTCAAACTAACACGCTGAAATGTTTGCTCTTACGAAAATGTTCACTCCTTGGCTTTCTTTTTCAGAGGGCATGGATTCATCTGAAGTTCCAGACCTTAAGGAGCTAACAAAATCTCAGTACACAGTGTACAAGGTAAGCATACCTTGTCTTGTTACTCATGTCTGAATCAAATTCATTGTAAGTGCAAGACTCAAACTGCCTAATGCTTTTAAGCTGTTCCTTAAATTGAAAGGAAAGTATAGTAAGCAATTATATGGACATATGATGTGCTTATAATTATAACCACTATATGTACATACAGTAGACTCTAAATAAATGGTACCTTAAGGAACCAGGAGCATATGTTTTATATAACAGGAGTTTAGTTTACTGAGACATGAACAAATGCATAGAATACAAGTAAGAAACCTATCGTGTCAGAGGCCATTGTTCCATTCAAGCAGTAATGCTATTTAAGAGATTTATGTTCATTGAAAGCCTACTGTAGGTGGTGTTTATAATGTCTTTCTTACTTTAATGGAATATCTAGCTTGAGAAGTTTCTCATGGTTCTTGCCCTCCTCCCACTTCTTTACTGTAATATGTGAAATTTTATGGTCTTCTGCAATCTTTTTGCACCAAGTAGCATTCTGTTGTGTTTTGCTCCTAAGGTTTGCATTCTGTTGCTTTGATTTAATCAGAGGTATTCTATCTACCTGATGGGCTGTAATTGTTGGCGCACTTAGATACAACCTCACTATAACAAGGTTTGAGTGTGTATGTGTGTGTGTGTGTGTGTATATATATATATATATATATATAGAAAAGACACAAAGGAAACTAAATGAGAAGAAAGAAATTCTGAAGCACTCGTCTGAGGATTCGAAGCAGCGACCCTTCACATCGTGGCGCGCTGCGTCAGACGACTCAACTACGCACCATCTGTAGGGAAAAGACACTTCTGCTGGATTTATTGGCGTAGAGCATTAGGCCGTCCCAACATGGCGAACAAATTGGTCATAAGCGAAACCGTCCACATTCGACTGCACGTGAACTTGACCTCTTCGTCGTCGTCTTTCATGCGCCACGCGAGCACTATTTCGAACATCCTTCGTGGCCAACAATATCACTTGCTCAGTTTTAGAAGACAAGGAAGTTGAACCGACTTCCATGTCCTCTGCTAGTTTGACTTTGCATGCTCTGACATGCCCATCATTACCCTTCAAGGTTTCAACAACTCTAGCTAATTTCCAAAACGCAACAGGCACTTTGTTATCTCTAATAATGACGTCACCACACTCTATACTGTGTCCTAGCTTCTGGGACCTGCTGTGCGCACTTCTTAGTGTCAGTATGTATTCCTTATGCCAGCGTTCCCAAAAGTCATTTAGTTTTTGTTGTCTACCTCTCCATGTGGGCAGCGTCTCTGTGCAGCCGCCCAAGTTATTGCTAACTTGTGCTTGCAGAATGGCCGTGAGGCATCTACCTGACAAAAAGTGTGACGGAGTCAGTACTTCTGCTTTGGCAGTATCATCAGAAATATATGTCAGTAGCCTAGAATTTATCACTGCCTTGACTTCTTGTAGTAAAGTGTCAAGCTACTTGAAACTGAAGCATCCTATTCCTAGAGTTTTCCTGAGGCAGTTTTTAACCGTTCGAATCATTCGCTCCCAAAAACCTCCCCATCATGAAGCACGCTCAGCAATGAACTTCCGCATGACATTACTAGATGCACAAAAGTTCTGTACCTGCTCATCATGTAGTAGAAGCCCGTGTGACAGCTTAAGTTCGCAACTGGCTTCCTTAAGCGTTAAAGCATTATGAGAATAAATGACATTTCGTAAACCACGACATGAAATAAAACGACAAAAAGCCAATAAAAAAGAATTCACAGTCATGTCACTGACAAGTTTCAAGTGAACTGCTCGTACTACTGCACAGGTAAATACCACAATGAATGTTTCCACAGAGCTGCTTTTCTTTACAAAAATGGGATCAGCGAAGTATACGCCCGTGACTTCAAATGGGTGACACTTTGAGACTGTCGACAGGTAGTGGGGCCGTTAGCGCTGAAGCGGCTTTTAAACGAAACCTGACTCAAACACTGCACTGGCCAAGCACTTTTTCAACACACTGACCACTACGCATAATCTAAAACCTGTCACTCAACTCTGTCAGTGCGACACTGACACCGCTGTGCAAAAGACGTCAATGTTCGCTGTCTACGATGAGGTGTGTGCAATCTGTGGGTAACAGTATGGGGAACTTCACACTTTATGACGCATCTACATTGTCTAGGCGAGTCTTGATTCTGATGATGTACTTATTATCCACGAAACGGTGAAGGTCTCGTATGGTTGACGACTTGGTGAGAGCTTCGTTCAAGGTTAGGGCCACCATCGCATTTCCAAAGCTTTGTGATTGCAAAGTCCCGATCTATGTTTCTTTGCTTTCAGCAATTTCCTGTGCGGAAATTGCTGAAAAACTTCTCTTCTCGTAATAGTACTTGTTCAGCAGTTGTGAAGGAACCTCCTCAGCCAAGCCGTGATTTGAAGGACCGTCTTCCAGCGACTGTGTTTACAGACCTCAAATAGAGGGTCCATCGTCCTGTTCTGGGCAACTAGAACCACGTTATTTGTTGTTTGTTTTTTTCATCGAGTAACATGTACCAAGTTCTCGTCTTGTTTCGGCCATGTTTCTTGAGGCGTAATTAGCTTTTCGGAGCCAAGCCATCATAGCGAGTTTGTGCTGAGGCTCTGGGAAGTGACCCCAGTGCGTTCTTAAATTTCCATCACCGCGTTCTAAACAAAGGGTTTCCACTTCGTGGGTGATGACCGAATCCAGCATAGGCAGATGTTAGAATCAATCTAGCAGAAGTATTTGTCAACTTTTGGTAGCGTCTCATGCAGAAAGGTTGCTATCTGCACACCCAGGGAAGCCCCGACGAGTTCAAGACACGGTAACGTCATCCTCTTGATGGGAGCAACCAGAGCTTTTGCGAGCAGCTGTTGGACATAGATGCTTCCCGATCCATCTTCAACCCTTAAGTATGCAACGACACCATATGCCTGCGGACTTGCGTCAGAGAATACATGAAGCTGAAACTGAACTTCGGCTGTGTTGACTCCAAGGTCATATCTCTTATGTCTTCAACTGCTGCTGTAAAATTTTTCCACTCATCCTTGAGAGCCTTTGGAAGTGACACATCCCAATATATTCCTTGCTTCCAAATATCTTGAAACAAGTTCTTGACTCTGATGGTGAATGGAGACAAAAATCCTAACACGTCAAAAATTCTTGATGTCGCTTGGAGCACTGTCCACTTTGTGTATTTTTCGTTCTTGATACCGTAATTACTCGAATCTAACGCGCACCTTTTTTCCGGTTAAGCGAGTTCATAAATCGCATGCGCGTTAGAATCGAGTACGAACAAAAACATTAGGTCAATTTATTGCCATTGGCAAATCCAAAATGGCCGCCCCCTACGTGCGTCGGCATGGCGCGTCGGCCATTTCTGCCTATGTGTTTCCCATGTGCGGCACTTCGTACGTGTGCTGAGGAGTTCGTCATCTAGTAGTGCATTAGCATCAACGGCGTGGAAGGGCCGACTCAAAAAACTCGAGTGCACCACGATGCCGCTTTTAAAAGAAAAGTCATCGCGTGTGCAGAAACAGACGGAAATCGGGCCGCATCGCGGTCGTTCGGAGTTCCCGAAACGTGCGTGCGGGACCGGCGGAAACAAAAGCAGAAGATTGTCGACAACAAAGCTTCACGCAAAGGCTTCAGTGGACCACAGCAGGGTCCGCAAATTGAAGAGCTGCTCGGCGAGTATGTGCATGAGCAGCGAGCGGCACAGCGACCCGTGACGACAGAACTGCTCCAAGTGCGGGCTATGCAGTTAGCTTTAGAAAAAGGGCTAACGCGGAGCCAGTTTAAAACGAGCAGGTGCTGGCTAACTAACTTTACGAAGAGGAAAGGCTTTTCCCTCCGAAGGCGAACGGGCATATGCGAAAAGTTTCCGGAGCAGTACGATGAAAACATTCACAGTTTTCAGAGGTTCGTCCTAAAGTTGCGGCGCAACAACGGCTACCTGCTTGGGCAAATCGGGAATGCCGATCAGACGCCTCTTTACTTCGACATGCCTGTAACCACAAACGTCGAGAAAAAGGGGGCGAAGCAAGCTCGCGTGCTGACATCGGTCCACGGTAAAACTACAGTGACTGCAATGCTCTGTTACTCGTCAGATGGGCACAAGCTTCGCCCGTACCTCATATTTAAATGGAAGACGCTCCCGAAAGGAGTCTTTTTTTTTTTTTTTTTTTTTTTTTTTTTTTTTTTTTTTTTTGAGTGGTGTGATCGTGCGGGTCAGCGAGAAAAATGGGTGCGCGTTGCAATCGATGTCTCTTTTTTTTTTTTTTTTTTTTTCGCGGTGGAAATCGGGTGCGCGTTACAATCGAGGGCGCGGTAGAATCGAGTAAATACGGTAATCTCCAGAAGTGGGTCAATGTTCACACGAAGTGTGTCTTCTTCCGTATTCCTGTGCAGCCCAAGTACCTTCGTTAGCGTATGCTGTGCCGTTGCTTCCTCTTTTTCTTGCAGTGTCTGTCTCAGCTGGTCCTCGTTAGTCGACCACTTCTACATGTTCATTCCTGCTAATTTTATGATCTCAGTTGTTTGGTCGTACAAGTGGCAAATCTCTTCAGGTGTTCAAGCGCCAATTATCAAATCATCCACATAGAAGCTTTCCTTGAGCTGAACAGCTATTTCTTAGTATTTGGAACCTATGTGGTTGAAGTGATACCGAAGTGTAGACGATAGAAGGAATGGACTTGACGTCCCATAAGGCACACGAGTCATCGTGATCTTCTCGAGTTGCGGAAGCGGGTTGTTCTTGGTCGGTACATCCACAATCCACAAGCGGAGCGCATTGCTGTCTTCTTCCCTGATGTATATCTGCAGGAACGCCTTCTTAACGTCTGCTGTAAGTCCAAATGCATACAAACGGAACCTGATTAGCATCTTTAGAAGATCAAAGTTCAGGTTTGGTTCATTTTCAAGCCTTTCATTCATACTGCATGATGCTGTTTCGTTCGACAGTGCATTGAAAACAGCGCGCAGTCTTGTAGTAGTGGACGTCTCGCAAATGACTTCCTG